GTAGAGTGCCTGAGATTCACAGAGGAATTTTCAGCAACTGAATTAATCACACGCTTCCTATTCTAAGCTAAGCTGTTTCTCGTCATAGAAAAACAAATCTGAATAAGTGTCCCACTGTTCCAATAGGCAGACATTCAACTAATTTGAATGTATTCTATCTCTGTAGCTCTTTAGTCTTGTTCTTCACAATTACTTTGGCATGCTACAAAGACACTCTAAAAAAGCAAACATTTCCTCACATCTAATTAACTCCTTTTAACAGTCTTGGAGAATTTTGCAGAGTAGTTGTTTGATACAGTCCCCTTTAGAGTAATGCCACAGAAGTAATGCTTCTGTGTCATGTTTGCATGCTAGGCATAACTGATGGGCAAGTTATTTTATGATTCTCTGGCAGCTTATTTCGTATAACCATGAGGCTGATTCAAAAGCCTGTGATTTTAGTTATGTGCACATTCCCAAAGCAGGGGAGCTGAAACATTCATAGACTTTAACTATTTATTTTCCATATCTTAATGGACTACTCAATTACGCACTGGGTTGTACTGTTTTTATTCTTAATTTATTCTTTATTCTTTCACTTAAGTATTTATTATCCAAATAAAATGTCTTCAAATTAACCCATTTTGGTTACAAAAGGTGCTTGTATACTTACTATATTACTATTATTATGCTTAAATATTTTGCTAAACCTTCTCCTGTATCTATGAGCAATTACAGCAGAGATCTCAGCTTTTTCATGTCCATTATGCAACTATCTGATAAACAGTGCATAAGATACATTAATTATTTTCTAGGATTAAAAACATATTATGTTTTAAGGCAGCACATACTGAGAGCTAAATAGGCTAGCAGCACTTTTCTGGACAAACTGAATTACACACATCGTTACAAGTAGTAACACGGAAACATTGCTGTGTGTAATTTTCTGATACCCCACCACAAGTTGCCTACTTCTGCCTTCTACTACCATCTGCTTATCACTGACATCAAAATATGGTGGAAATTCAGATAGCACCTCAATTCCCATTGTGCATAGTAAGTGCAGGTTCTTACACACAAGTATCTTACACTCACGCAAGTTATTCTCAAAAGAATCAGTAACTTTACTGTGTTTGGGAACCATAGAATCACTCAGGTTGGAAAAAACCTGAAAGATCATTGAGTTCATCCAAGACGTAACAATACTACCCTAACTCTAACAACCTTCCACTAAATCATGACCCTGAGTACTACATCCAAATGGCTTTGAAACACATCCAGGGATGGTGACTCAACCACCTCCCTGAGGAGCCTGTTCCAGTGCTCAACAACCCTTTCCATAATTTTTTTCCTGATATCCAACCTAAAATTCCCCTGGTGCAACTTGAGGCCATTTCCCCTTGTCCTGTCACCAGCGAAAAGAAACCAACCCCGCTCTCGCTGTAAGTACTGTTCAGATATTGGAAGAGAGTAATAAGATCTCCCCCTCAGCCTCCTCTTCCCCAGACAAAACAGCCCCAGTTCCCTCAGCCTCTCACCGTAGGGCATATTCTCCAAGCCCTTCACAAGCCTTGTTGTCCTTTTTCTTTGGACCTTCTCCAGCACCTCAATGTCCTTTCTGTACTGAGGTGAAATTAGCTTCCTCTGCTTATTTCAATATACTTCACTTGGATTTGTTAAAACTTAGTGAAAAATACAAAGGAATTTGAAAGTCTTGTCTCACTATATTATGTGACATCTGACTGATAAGTATTTTTTCTTTTTATAAATTAGATCGTAATAGATTGTTTCTGATGATAGAATTTTGATTTACTCATTGCAGTGGATTTTTTTTTTCAGTACACATATGCTGTCAGCTTGTGTGTCATTACATGACACGCGTTAGAAGCTGGGGTGATTTCCTTTTCTGGGAAGACCCATGATGAGGGAGTGTAGGAAACTGATTGAGTGGCCCTGCCCAGCAAAGGTTGCCATTGCAGTTTTGTAGGAAAGGAAATGGAACTAATCTATAGAGACAGCTACCTTTTGTGCACTTTTTTTTTCTTCATACACTTTTCAGAGTACTGTTAGGTTCTTTAAGGATGCTCAGGTGTAATTTATTCTCTTATGCTTTTTCCCATTTCTGTTTTCCCTCTCTTACTCTCATAATTCAAGTGAGACTTCCTTTCATCCTGCAAGTTTTTATATAGGAATAACATTATGCCTACATGCATATATATTTAGATATCTCAGTGTTAAGTTACAGGTTAACAATCAGTATTGTTATTAACTCATATTTCCATTTATATATATTTTCATTTAAAGTTGTTGGACTTATGCAGGTAGATCATTAAGTGCCCCAAATTCATGAGTCTAGGCCTTAGAGTATAGCCAGATTAAATATCTGTGGTTTCTGCACAAACAACTATAACATTCCATCTTGGAGTCAAAATTTCAAAAGGTTGAATTGAAGAACACACTTTAAGACTGAAATAATTCTGTGAAAAATTCTCAAAGAGAAAGTGTGTGGAATTGTCAAAAATTGATGTGACTACATCATGACTAAGTCACAATAGTGAAATCTGCAGTAATTTGTGGAATTGTGTACTGAGATGTTTCAGTCAATCTGAAATGAAAGTTCTTTGTTAACTAGTGAAAGAATATTGTCAACGCATCACATAAATACTGAAAGAAGCTATTGAATTAGCAAAGGCAAGAAAATGAAGGCAAAATAATTTATAAGAAAAACAGTATTTTTGTATGAGACGTTGAAGGAAAAAGAGGAAAATTAACATTTGAGAAGCGAAATGGAAAATAAATTAGTTTCTCTGTAAACCTATCACACATGAATGGCCAGTAGCATTTTGCATATATTGTGCAAGAGTTCTGAGAGCCTCCTTCTATATGAACCCATGACAAGTGGACAGGCAGGGCTGAGAAGTACAGTCAATGGATTGGGAACAGCTTTTAGCAATTAGGGACATCTAAGCCAAGTGGTAACAGCATGCTGAGTACTTCTTGCGAACACACATCCAACAAGAACAAGTGCCAAAATTCCATGGCATTCAAGATCAGCACAAAGCAAGCTTCCAACAGAATGCTAGCCATCTTCCCCCAGTTGGGTTCTCTAAGCTCATTGTAATAAAAAGACAGCAGTTTTAAGAGCAGTTCTTACACTACTTACATGGCTGGCACACCATGTACTCTTTATTGATCTATATGGACAACTGAGAAAGCCATGCATGAGCACATATAAGGAAGACAATACTCTGAACTCAGCAGAGGACAGGAGCTGATAGCAACTTACTCTAATTCTTGTTCAAAGATTTATCTCTTTTGTCTTTCAGTTGCTAATTTTTTCTAACTTATTCCACTGCTTCTCTTAGCTTTAATTTGGCTACTGAAAGAAGAAGGGCAGAGCACTTTAGAAACACCCTGTGGTAGAGAAAAGGAATGCATAAGAAGGCCGACACTGACTGTACAAAACTATTCAAAGTACCCAGTTGTATCCCTGTAGGAGTTACATATATAATCAACTGGATAATTTCTCTGGAAGTACAGCAGGGTATGTAGGTCAGTGTCCAAATAAGGAAGCATCAGATGAGGAAAAAAAAAAAGGGACAGTTCAAAACCACTGATTGAAGCAGACTACTGCACTATAGCATTTCTAGAAGCTTAAAAAAGTACATTCCAGCTCTAAATTCATCTGAGATACAAGTAAGTCTGTAAAGGATAAGAAGTTGACACTATTGTAACAATCAGATTTGTAATATATAGCTGCTATATGCTAAGCAATTAAATATTTCATATTTCATGTTAAATATGTTGGTAAATTATTATAGAATTAGGAAAAGAAGAGAGAGGATTTTGATTATTTCAGTTAGTGGTTTGTTTGCTAGTTTCTGTAATTTCTCTTTTGGAAAAGAAGGAGGATTCGGAACTATTCTTTACTATCTGAAACTATTCCCCAAGTTTTATTATTTGTTGAAGGCTACTATTCTGAAATGCTTAAAGCAATTTTGGAAACATTGAGGTGATCACAAATTTTCTTAGTTCCTAGTTCACCACTTACAATAATTTCTCTGCATGAAACAACTCTGCATGCAGAGGTATACCGACAAAGTTATTCCTTTACCCTCTCACTGGTAAAATCAAAAGTAATGTTAGAAATACATAAAAGGATAAAAAAAAACCTTCCTTCTGTGGAAATTCAGTGGGCAGTTGAAGTTAATGGGCTTTGACCTAGAACATGTGCCAATTTTCAACAACCTTATTTTTATGACAGCATGAGAAGCTTCTGAATGAGGAAACTCATAATAGAAATGTCTGGAATTTACTAAACACTGCAACATAACTACTGTTATGTTGAGAAATACACTGAATATCAGCCAGCTTTCTGTAGAAAATGATAAACATACGTGATGACTGTAGGGGATCTCAAAGACATTTTTATTATCCAGAATAGTATGTCTCTTTAGTGCAATGTTGTTTTTATATGTGATATATAAAGTTTGTTTCCATATATTCTATACTGTGTATTCACATAGTGTTTGTCTATTTGTTTTTTATTCCAAGAAGTGTTCCTCTTGTGCAACCCATTTTATTGTTTTCCTTCTTGTCAAGAGTTCAGATGTGATGCAAACTCTCACAATTATACTGTCGATCACTTGCATGCTGAGCTGCATGCTGGTAGTAGGAAGTGCCCTGAATTAAATCTTAGGAATTTAGACTGGTTCCCAGTGAAAAAGTAAACAACAGCATGAAAATGACAAAGCAGGAGTTATACCTTCCCACCCTCTCCTTTCAAAGGCAGACAGTGTGTTCAGCCAGAATTTCACACCTAACCATTTGTCTTGTGAAAAATAGTTAAGATGCCATTTGGAAGCAGAAATGAAGTAGATATGTTATATTTATGTATGTGATAACATGCAATATCTAATATATATACTCTGTGCCTTGTTCTGTTTTTTAAAATGAGAGCTTTTGATGAGTGTTAAATAATGGAAACAAATGTTGCCTAACCTACATATGCTTTCCTACAGGGTGAGATCCAGCAGTTGTTGATTATAGCTGACCCCAGAGCTGCATATGACTATTGCGAGCATTATAGTCCAGACTGCGATTCCCCAGTGCCTAATGCTGCTCAGGCTCAAGATCCTCAAGTTGATGAGGTGAGTAATCAGTCATGTATGAAAAGATTTATTGCACATTAGTGGTTGTGCTGAATACAAGTTACCCAGGGAGCATTTAATTACAGCTAAATGGCGTACTTTGTTCTAGACATGAGGAAGAAAGGTTGCAGGAGCACATTAGTTTTTTCTATGCAATCATTTATGTCAAGTATTTGAAGGCAGCTATCACACTGGTATCTGAATAACCAACATTCTCAATAGCATTAAACTAATTATTTAAAATGAGATAGCAATTTGTGCTCAGTTGTATCTGTTTTTTCCTCCTATGTATATTTATGATTTCAGTGATCCTGAGTACCTTCAAATGTCACATTTAAAAAGAGATGGGAGATCTGAGTAAGTTGGAGTCAAGAAATTCTTCTGCTAGAAATGTCATATTCTAATAAGATGTGGCCACAAAATTATTTTAGCCAGATCCACTGGTAGCAGCTAATAACATCAACAGGAATAATATTGATGTTGGCATTTTCCTCAGAAATATGAAAATCATTCAGAAACCATTTGCCACTGTAGACAGTTCTCACAACTGTATGTTAATCAATTCACTAATGGCAAGACAGCCTCTCAGATTAGACCTCCAAGGGTCAGCAGCTGTATGCATTGTCATACATATTCCAAATACTTGTAATAAAATTGTTCTCATACTTTCACTATGAGGTGGAAATCTTTTGTAAAAGGTGGCTTTTATGTCTTAATTGAACTTGGCTCTGGACAGTTAGTATGCTCTCAGTTAACTGTGTGTGACCTGAGTGACTATTCTTGCCAACTGCTCAAGAAACCAGCATTAAAAAATTATTGAATTGTTCTCAGATGCATGCTTTGAGCTAATTTTGGGACAGAAATTTTCCTTAATGAACAATAACTTTATTTACTGTTACTATTTATTGTGTCTGACTGAAAATTATGTTATGAAGTACACAGATCCACGGGTTCAAGAACTTGGTTTAAAGGGGCTCTGTAAGGATAGGCAGTAATAGACATAGCTGCTTTAAACTCATTTTGGATCAACTAAGAAACACAGTGGTTATAATCCAGTAGTAAAGAAGGAAACACTTACCCCCTACCTAAGGATCAGGGCTCGCTGAACACTCCAAAAGAGACAAGCAGAGGTGCTTCCCTTACAGCTGCCAGCCCTTAAAAGAGGTTTGGGAGGGGTGGACCATTCCAGTCACACAGGTGATTTGCTTCCACCTGTGCTCCCTGGTCTGGCTGCACCCCTTCACCAGGTGCTGAGTGACTGGTTCAGGCCCTGACCTAACAGCTCCTACACAGGATCCCACATCCATTGCATCTGATATCCAGTTGAAGATGTGTGAAGTTAATTACAAGCTCATATTACATTACATCACATTACATGTAGGGGCATGACAGTTACATGGCAGTACATAAAGTCTGTTCTGTTAATGAGCCCCTCGTAAGACTGTCTGTCTGTGTGTTTAGTTATACAGATTTCCATGCATTATGTTCCAGACCAGATCAGGCTAAAATCATTTTGTTGATATTTTATGGAAAGAAAACCAAAGCTAGCATTTTTTATTTTTTTTAATGTCATCATTTAATTTCAAACAATATTACATTTCTTCTGCAGAACTTCCCTGGTACTTGCTTCTGTATGGCTTGGGACTATTTTTTTTAATTATTATTATTTTCTTTGTAAAGACTTGAAAGGTTTGAATAAGCTAAGGCTTTTCTATTTTTGAATAAAACTGAAAGGAGTCAGTCTAATAAACTGATCTTTGGGGGAAAAGGTTGTTAAAATCCCTTAGTCAACAGAGTCAACAGGGGAGCAATGTATCTAAATGCTTACAACATATTAACTAAAATGAAAACACTTGTCTCCCAGCTGACATCAACTCTTGAGCAGAAATTAACATGTCTTGGATTACAAATACCTGTTTGTTTTGGCCACCACTGACAGTAATTATTGTCCCTATTCATCAGTGTAATGCATGCAGACAAGGCTTACAGTTGTGATCAGCTTTCAGATTCAGAGTATATTCTTTGGATAAATTAGGAGTGAATAATTGGGCATTGACTACAGGAGAATTATTAGACTGTATTTTAGAGTTTCTAAAGAATGTAGGCAGTAAATAAAATATCCCTGGGTCTACTTTCTCTCCATAATGGATGATCAGCTAAATTTCCTGCTGCCAAGTATTATTCCTATAGTCTATCAAAATTGTTTAACGTCAGTTGAGAAAGACATTTATTCAACGATCAAAAGAAAAATAAGGTTTCATAATTATAATAAGGCTATGTGTGTTCACGTATATAGTTCTATGTTCATCATATAAAGTGCCCAGTTACATACTTCACATCTATTGTGAAGTACCATGTGATGAGCACCAAACAGAGAAAAGGAACCATAACATCAAACAATTGACAATGTTCTCCTTTTGAGTAATACATCATATATGTAGCATTTTGAGTAAGATATCATTTATAACAAGCACATCCAGCATGCAGGCTACACGCAACCCTGGACAGCTAGTAACATGGACCCACAAGACCATACACTTTTAACATTACGTTATTTAAGCAGTATTCTTTGGTGAGTCAATTGTGTGCAGCTTGAGCACGGACAAAGGAATGCTGTGGAGAGGAGGGCAGTGTAGCGTTAAATCCTTCTCTCGTATCTACCACACACAGTCAAATTGAAACTCGTGTATTTTGCCATGCAGTGGCACAGTGATTACCAGTAACAATATTTCAACATACTAAACATGTGTATGTGTCTGTGAAGACAAGCATTTTCTTTCTATTGAGCACATATACAAGTTTTCTTATTTAACACAAGCCCTAGTTTAATAATTATTTCATGAAGTAATTTAGTAAGTTAACACATTCGCTGTGGAAGAGATATCCAGAATACTTATGCTATGCTGACCAATTTTGTAATTTTCAACATTTCAAAAAAGCTCAATAAAAGCATAAAATTATTAAAAACATTACAATCTAATTTTGCAATATGTATTTAATAGCTTTTCTGCTTTTCTGACCATGTATAGGGAATCTGAGAACAGGTTTCAAGATTTCTGAAAAAATCAATTTTTATATATTTGCAATGCCATTTTCAGTCACAATATGTTCAACTTGTTAAATTTAATGTATAGAGTTGGAATCAGACATTCAACTCAAGGAAAAAAACTGATAACCTCTCTTTACTAGACTTTTATACGACATATTTCACCAGAGCAAAAACATACACAGTGGTTAAATACCCTACCAGCTCTTTGTTTTTCTTGGTCTTTTTTTTTGTTGTTGTTGTTTAATAAAAAATATATTTTTTTAAGTTGTTACTTGATGTATAATCAACTATATCATATATTTTATATGGTGCCCAAGACAGTTCCACTTCACTCAGTGTAGCTCAGGCAAGCCAAAACTTGGGCACCGAAGTCCAGCTTCATCAGACTTAAGAATCATTCAGTCTGGCATTTGCAAATGTGAAAGTACTAGGATGTTTTATTCTTTATTATCATTTATTTGCACTTTCAAGATATGCTTTAATTGAAGCATGCATTAACTGTACTTGTTTGTGGTGGCAAATACCTATGAATCTCCATAACGTGTTAAGTACAGAGTGATGACCTCAGTTGTTGTCACTACGTCAAAGCAGTAGTGTCTAAAAGTTACTTGAAAAATCTGCTTCTGGAGGAAAAAGAATATCTGATTGTAGATAATTGTTTATAATCAAGCACAGCATTGTATAATTAGATATTAAGAATTGAATAAGCAGATGAAATGATAATTTAAAAATATCAGGGATGCTCTTTCCTTGGGAAGTTATGTGCCTATGTTTTTCTTATAAATATTTTGTGAATAGCCTGGCTTCTGTCTTGTTTTCACAACACTTTCTACTATAAATGGAAATACAGTTAAATTCAGCTTCCTTTCAATCACGTACATTTGGCCAGCTCACAGAAATTAGATTAGGGAAAGATGAGGTCAGTCTTCATCTTCATTAATGTTGGGAATTGTATTTTGTGGAGTGTTGGCAAGTCTAGTTTTCAACAGCTCCAGCTATCAGAATTTCAGATTTTCTCTTGGAAGATTTTTCTGCAACCCAGTAAATCACACTGTCTCACTTGTTCTTGAGAAATGGCTCCCCAAAGGAACTTTGCTTCGTTTATTTTGGATCTATCCCAAACTAATGGATTATTTGAAGAAATGAAATGTTTGTCTTTTATGAAATGAGCTTGTTAAATCAAAGATGCAAATGGCTCCTGAACACACTCAAATTGCAGTATTCAGGCATCCTTTCAGAGGATGTTTATTTAGTATTCTTTATTTCAGGTGTTCCACTGATCAGAACCTATATTCTTCAGAAAACCATGTTTAATTTCAATCATCTTTAAACTACATTTTGCTACCTTGGCCATTGTTAAAAATAAAGATCTTCCTAGCACTCTTTCTTTGTATAGATACATAATGTAGAGCCTTAAGGCAGACAGAAGCTGCCTTTGGAAGTTGAAGATTTTGTTCTTATCTTCTTTTATCTGCTTGCCCATATCACTATTATAAATAATGTAAAGATTCGGAGGTCTTTTAAATATTTTTGTTTCCTTCTGTCCTAAGATTGACATCTACTGCCATTTATTTCTTTTTATTATTGCATCAGAATTTGAAACTACTATTATGCTTGAAATCCCTTGTTTCATTGCATTTTGTAAAAAGTTAGAGTCTAAAGTGTTTCATAGTAATCTTTGACTCTTTAAGTAGATAGATGACTTTGTATAATGCTGATGCAATAAACAATGGGCTTGACAGTTCTTTGCTTTAGCATATGAATTGCTGGTTCTTCATAATTTTGAAAGAAAGTAAAAAATGTTAAAATTTACATCTGCAGAACAGGAGACAATTTTGGAATAGTTTTTGTATGGAGAGCAGAAGAGACCATTTTCAGAGTAAGGCTCTAAGAATATTTACGTCATTCCACAGTTGAAATGGGCCTTGTGTGCTGCTGATCTGCTTCTAAAATTCATCTGATGAAGAAAACAGTTCATCTCTTTAATTGGAATAGCATGGTGATCTGGTAGTGCAATATAATCACTCTGGTAAAGAAAGCATGAGGTCATAGTGGAAAGTCTCATCAAGAAACAGCAGGCTTTATTCTTCCTTTCAATTGTAAGAAAGTAGTCATATGCAATATTCATTACAAGAACGTCTGTTCTGTAACTATTGGTGGTCTTAGAACAGGAGAAAGAAAAACAACAGAAAATTACATTACATTTGAAATGTGTTACCTGATCCCTGTTAGCTGAAATCCCTCCTTATGTTTTAGCTATTGTCCAATTTGAGGTCCTAAGCAAGTTAAAATGCCATGCAGTCAATGTTTTAGATATGTGGAAAAGTTTATAAAGTTATATATGTTTGCTTTTTCTGTGAGCACATAGTCAATCTATAACCATCCCCATATGCAGCAGTATAAAGGGACTGGTAAGCTAGCATAGACAGAGCTCAACTTGAGTAGAATTAAAGCAATCAATCAAACAATACTTTTACTTGACTATGCCTGTACTCATAGGAAGATCATCAGAATCTTCTACAACCTGAATGTCTCTTTAAATCCTCTTCCAATTTCTTCATTCTCTGCCTGCATTACTGGCCAATAAGACCATCCTTTGATACATAGCAACAAAGCTATACTGTCTTCCATGACAAAATTCATCTTTGTCATACTTGCTTTCATTGCCTGCTTTGACTTTTTTGCTAAACTTGGCTAAAATTTAGAAAGTTGCAGAGGGTACTTTTCCAATTCATTAAGTAGTTTTGAAATTCCAAATGCTTTCTCCTACATTAATTAACAGAACAACGACTACAGATTTCTGAGAGTTTCCCATATCTCTCCATAATGTCCCTCCAATACTGTGCCTTTAAAAAAAAAAAGAGAGAGAAAGAGAAAGAAATGTCTGTGGAAACCTTCACTTCCTTGGCAGTACTCAGATTCCAGCCTGGAAACTGGCATTCCTCATTTATCATCTATTTCTGTTCATTTTGCCTGTATATCTGCATATAATAGCAATCAAAATTCAACCAAAGTTGAATTTTCATTAATAGAAGTGAGTAAAGTACAGTCCTGCAAAGTAGAATATATATATATTTTTTTGTTATCTTACCTGATGAAACAGATCTTTTCATGTTGTCATGGATATGTATGAAAGTTTTCTAGTTCTCATTCATAAGTATCTGGCTTTCCAAACTATACTGCTGGCAGATCACAGCATAAATATCAGGCTTTTTTTTTTCTTTCCAGTCAACATCAGCATTTAGTCTTGCAATTTTATTACCTGCATAGATAGCGCAATTCATCACAGACACTTAGCCTACCTTTTATGTATTTTCTATACTTCCTTTATGTTGTTGGTTATGGTCTAGAAACTTTTCACCTTGTTTTGTTTTCTGGATGTCAGTGGCATAGCTCATTCGAAACAAGTTGTATTCAGATGCATTTCCAAAATTTCACAAGTCAGAAAACATGTTTTTATACATTTATACACCTGTAAAAATGTATAATCACTGCCCATGACGCCTTTGGATAATGCCATACATAAGTCAAAATGTTTCATTGACATTACTGCTCTTAGGATGGAATCTTAATTTACTGAATAGAGAGAGAACAATCACATATTACTTAAGTTTTAAGATTTAACTGCTGGTTAAACTGGGATTATTTAGTCTGAAGAGAAGGCTCAAGTTTGACCTTATTGCTCTCTACAGTTACCTGAAGGAAGTTTGTGGTGAGATGGGAGATGGCTTCTTCCCCATGTAACTAGCAATAGAACTAGACAGAATGGACTCAAGTTGTGCCAGGGAAGATTCAGGTTGGACATTAGGAAATACTTCTCCAAGAGGGTGGTCAGGCACTGGAACAGGCTGCCCAGAGAGATGATAGAGTCACCATCTCTGGAGGTGTTAAGAATTGCTTAGATGTTGTACTGAGGGACATGGTTTAGTTGGAAATATTGGTGATACATGGACGGTTGGACTGGAAGATCTTGGAGGTCTTTTCCAACCTTGGTGATTCTATGATTCTATGACTTATAAGTGTTCAAGGTCTTTCAGTGTTGTTCCCATACGTCCTGAGTAATAAACTTTTCCGTGTTTTATGTTCAGTAAAATGTATTCAACGGAAGTGCAGGAATTGTATCAAAAGCCTCTGTAAACAGTTAAGGTAAACAGTTAAGCCGGACATTAGGTCACATAGTCAAATATATTTTAAAATATGGTCATTTTTTTAAACCCCATTTATAATTTTTTTCTTAAATGTCTCTTTCTTATGCTGATGTTATTTATTACTTCCATGAATTCTCGGAGTCATTTAGATGTGCAATCCTCTCAGCAATCTGAAGAAACAAATAGATATTGTCTTCATTCTTCAGGCAATGATGCTGGGTTATAGTGGGAAATAAGAGATTTCACAAGTCATTAGTTCCCATTATGCACATCAGAATGTTTCTAATATTCTAAACATGGAAAAGGATCAAATTGGTGGGATTCTGGCCCCAATTCCACCTCCTTTTGGCTGCCTGGAGATGTGAAAACAATTAGTAGCAGACATGAGATAGCTTTAATTTACAGGACCAGTCAGTCCCTGTATCTTCAAGCATGATGGAGGTAGTAAGTAAAAATACCTTCTCAGCTGTGATGAGTAGCACTTGTTATGCCTAATCTAGACCTTCAGGGCAGAGCTGAGATTGTAGTTCAGAAGTTGCTGACTTCCTAGCTAGTGTCATAAAATTACATAACCTAATTGTAAGCACATTTTCACTTGTAAAATTTTTGTGGGCCAAATCTCTGCCTGATACTTTTATTATAGATACAGAGCTATGGAGTAATTTATAGCAACTGAGAATCTTAAATGAAATTATATCAGTAACTTAATTGCTCAGATAGTGTGTATCGTGGAGCAGTCCTGGTCTTGGGAACTAAATCTCTCCAAACACGAGGATAGCCATGGTTATTTGTGAGTTGTAGGCTCTTCCCTGAATCTGAAATTACTTATGCTATTCACATCAGATATTGGCATCTCTTCAGCTCTCCTGGTTGCCTGAAAACATATATAAAAGAGTATGGATAAAAGAGGCATTATTTGTACTTAAAATATTAAATAAATATATTATTTTGCAAACATCAGTTGTTGCTCCCAGTAATCCAAATTATAGCTGAGTATTTCTATTCAGTCCAATAAAAGATTATTTTTTTCCTGACACTGCTACTTCTTTTTATTATTATTATTACTTTTACTATTTTTGCATTGTGCTTTGAGAAGAATAAGGAACTATGTTTTTCCCCCCAATTATATTTAATTGTTCATGCTAACTTAATCACCTTAAGTTTTAGTCCTAGAAAAAGGCTAAGATGCTCTCCAGTATTGCAAATATAATTTGCTTCCACTAACATGGGAATGCCTCATATTTTTCATTTGCTATGTAGTACACACCAGAAGATTTTATCGAATATGACTATGAGTATGGGGATGCAGATTATAAAGAAACTGAGTCTGTAACAGAGGGACCCCCACTGTTTGAAGAGACAATAGCACAAACAGAGGTAACAGAATCTGATCTGTTTGTTGTGTGGTGTCCAGCTGTCCCCTACCATGTGGTTTGTCAATTTGTGTCATCTGTATGTAAACTTAATGTTTTTCTTTTATTCATTTCTTTTCTCTTCAGCTTTAACACTTACTTTTCCTTAGCTATGGAAGGGCCCACAACTGACAACATTCATCTCACATTCATATACACTTTCATTCATTCATTCTTTTCATTTTATTTATGTTTTCCCATTCCATCTTTCATAACATTTGCAGAAAAAGAAAGCCATGGTCAAAAAGAAGAAGAGGACAGTGGCCACTAGCTCAAAGGACAAATCCCAAAAGGCCACAACAAAAAAATCTGAAAAATATGCATCCAAGAAGAAGAAAAGTTATCAAGCAGCAACAAAAGACAAACTAGGGGTAAAGGTAGCAAAGAAAAAATCAAGATCTTTCCCAGGCCAAGACTGGAAGATCTCTGATAATGAGAAAAAAATAGACCTAACCCCACCAGATGAATATCTGGCTTATAACATAACCTGAATAAAAGTGATATCTCTTGATTTTTCCTACAGGATTTTTTTGATAATGTACTTTTTCTTTAATACTAGGCAAACATTGTCGATGAATTTCAAGAATATAGCATAGCTGAAAATGACTACAGGCCCCAGACAGAAGCTCCCTCCAGAACTACTGAAGCCAATGAGGTAATGAGAACGCTTGAGAAAATTATAGGCAAATGTACTTACCTGTCAGGTGTCAATAAAGCAAAACAACACACTGTTAAAGGAAGAATATCAGTTTGTGAAGATATATGTATCTGTAATAGTGATTAATAAGATTTTACGGTTTCTCAGCCAATATCAGAACCTAATATTTTCGTGGGCAAAGCTCCCCTTGGTTCCAAGATTTGCTGAACTCATGCGAAGTTTGTGATTTTGAAAATCATTCATTGATTCATTCTGTGGGAATGCAGGGTTGGGTTGTTGCATTCAGTGTGGATATGAATGGAGCTATGTCTAGTATAAATTAGGTTAAATAGCAGACACAGTACTCCTGCTGTAATTGGAAGTGCACTTTCTAATTTTTTGTGTCGCTCTTAAGATGCAGCATAAAGCAAGCCTAACTAAAGAAAAGAACGAATGCAAGCATTGCTATGTATTGAGGTTGAGTCAGAAAACAAAGCCTTCTTTTAATAGTTCTTCAGCCAACAAAACTTAATTATTTCTCACTGAGATTCTATTCAAATGAAACTTTGTGTTTTGAACGATCAAAAAGATAAAATGATTATTTCAACTTAGTATAAACTCTGTTTTCAGAAATCCACAACAAGCCTAAACATTATTTTTTTAACATTACTACACCTAAAAGGCAGTGTTGATTAATATGTCTGCATATTAATTAACGCTAGCTTTAGAAAAAAGATGACTGATTAGAGAAAGTGTCATTTTTCTTTTACATATTGTTTGCAAATGAAAATATGTTGCTTATAAGATGTACAAAACTGGTGAAATCCCATGGTATTTTGTCTTTATGTTGTGGATAGTTTTTGTTCAACACTTTCTTTGATTTAAAGAGCAAAATGAAAGAGAGAGAGAATCCCTATTTGTTTTCCTGGTTTCCTCTTATGTATCTTGGTGAACATGAATTAAGAGATATTTTACTTATTCTAGTATAAAATGTTCTTGTATTAAGTCTCATGTTTACCTCTATACGTTTATAGATAGAGGAATATAGATTTATTCTGCTTCTTGGGCAAGAACAGGCTAATTGTACAATAGTACAATTGTAATGAGATAGATCCAAAGCACAAAATTATGTCCTTAATGAGAACAGTTCTGCTTAAGAGCGTAATCTGACTAAGAATTGGCTCAGAGCTCTAGCGTTTACTGTACTATATGGGAAAACTCATAGTCCTGTAGCTAATGGAATTAGACAACTGTCAAATTAGAATCTGGCCTTTATTTTAATTGCACTATATTTTAATGACTCTGGATGTTAATTAACTTCTTAATATATATTTTTAAGATCATGGTAGTTCATCTCTGGAATAACCATCTCATATTAGCAATATCTTAACTTTGATTCATTTCAAAACTATCCTTTCAAGAGATTTTTGTAACAGAATAAAGCAATTCTTTTTCCACAAATAGTTTTGTACATCTCAGATATAGCATCCTTATATGCATGCCTATAAGTTGATTGCTTGGTTTGACACTTTGCATAATCGAAGTTGGAAGCTACAAGCAATGTTGAACTTTGAGAAATGTTAAAATTAATCTGAGTTTTGCAGGTGGGACTTGACTCAGCGAAAAATATGTTTAAAATGACATGACAGACACATCTCTAGATTTGGAATGATAAATTAACTGCAAATCATGAAAAGAGAAACATTTAGCTTGGAAGTGAGATTTGTAGATGCAAGATAGTGAAGGTGGCTGGGCTTAGCAAAAGTGATGCTTGCACTGTCTACACACTGTTATTGTACACAAGCCTGAATTTTTTCACTGATTGTTACAATACATGTGTTAGCTCTGAATTTATTTGCTGTTTACTAGTGTGTATGTGTAAATTCATGAATACCTATGTGTGAAACCAAGCAGAGAAACTTAGCTATATTTGGCAGTAATGAAACATTAAGCAAGCATTACACATAACGTACTGGGTATATTGAATTCAGAGGTTTTGGAAATTAGAAGAAAATAAAGTATGAAAGCATTATTTCTTTGTACTATGTATACAAAGATCTTTTAATTACTCTGAAAGACTGGAGTTCCATTCCTTCAGACTCTAATTAAAAGACAATGTGCTGTAGTTCTACTGTTCCTTCTTCTTTTTGGCAAGTCATCATTGTGGTTGAGCATATGCCTATATTGCTTTACTAACATTAACTCACATATTCCTCCTATTCCCAAATCTTTGCTACTGGTATGAATAGCAAAACCCTGTTGAAGAAGTATTTGCTGAAGAATACATAACTGGAGAGGATTATGATAAAAAAACTGAGGAAACTGAATATGGAAGCAGAGGAGTAGACCTCAGTGAATCTGATCTTCTGGTAGATGGAGATTTAGGCGAATATGATTTTTATGAATATAAAGAATATGAAGAGAAACCGACTGATTCTACTAATGAGGAGTTTGGTCCAGGTGTTCCTGCAGAGACTGATATCACAGAAACAAGCGTAAGTTGTTTGAAGGCATAATGCAGATTAATTTAACTTAGCAATGCTTTTATAGTTACATTTTCTCATAACTCTAAAAAGCCCAATACAGACCTCATTGTACAGATAAGGTGTATTCACACTTTTTATAGTCTGTGGATCAAACTTGTCCACTTGTTTTAGTAACCCTGAGGTTGTTTGGTTTTTTTATTATATGCAGGTTTTTTTGTCACTTCTGAGGAAGGGAGTAAGGGAGGGATTGAAGTTGGGAGGGAAATAGAAGAGAGAAGAGATTTGGAATGTCAAGAATAAATGATAAAAATGAACACGGATTTTTAAATCTTTCTAAACTAGAGCTAAAGCTGGAAAGAATGTAAGTTTTAAAACAGGTGCAAGAACTAAAAAATATCAGCATTGTTACATGATTACATTAACAAGTTGAATTGTGCGCAAGTCCTTAGTATAATATGGCCTCTACTTTCCAAGGATAAAAAGAAATGAGTCAAAAGCTAGAGTTCTGAACTCATTTATGAAAATAAGTTCAATATGAAAATTAGTCAACAGTGACATTTTTATGACCTTGTAGGAGTGATTTAATAGCTCAGTATGTCTAAAGGAAGATAGGATGACATGGTGGGTCCTGTGAATCATGCTCTTTTTTTTAGAGTTTTTTAGAGCTCTATGTTTTAGAGTTCTGTGTTTCCCTCTGACTTAAACATAGGTTTAAAGGAAGGCTTTAATTTTCCCTTGGTTGTGCCAGGATCCTCATTTACCAGTTTACCAGACTGTAGAATCTGCATAGAAAACTAACGTGACTGAGGCGAGAAGCAGGACTTAGTTCCAACTTGAAGAATTTTCTTAGCTCAGTATTTATTTTGTCCTCACAAACTTGAAATTTCAGTTTACAAAGAATTCAAGAAATAAAAGCAAATGCTGTGAGATTGCTTTTCTCTGCCAATCTTGAAATCCATGCTTCTGTATTTCATTTATCACTCCTTTCTAAACTCAGTTGAGGTCATTGTATTTTTTTAATGATCTTTATCTTGCAATGAGATACAAGCTTACTTTTCTCCTTCTAGTACAGATGGGAACACTGTGTTAGAATGACACAGAAAAGGTCAGATTATCTGCAAAGGAAAGAGCCCATAAGGCACCATTTGCATTAAGCAAATGGCTGTGTAGACTCTATTCCCTGGTATAAATTTCACCTTAAAATGCCTTGCTCCAAAACTAAAGGATTCAGGAAGCTTGAATTGGAAACTGGCCTCTAGCCTGTGCCAGCTTTATTAATGCTTTCACCTGCTGAATTAGAGTATCATATAATTTTCTTTTGACATATGGATGTATTTAAAGCAAATTAAGTTTTAACTTTGTTCAAAAAGGCAAAGTGAAAAGTACTGAGTACCTGGAAACTTACAAGAAAGGGGCAATTACAATATGTGCTCAGTGTCCTTGTTTTACAGTGTGTGAATATAATCAAGCATAATTATCTGATCATTTAGTACTTGAGTTATATTGTACAGTGTACAGAACTATTGTACAGTGAAATTTGTAATTTCATAAATCAGTATGAAATGCACAAGCAATGAATATATACCTCTGGTTTTCCTTTCCAGAATAACTCATATTAAAATACTGTAGCATTGTCTTCAGAGTCATTTGATATGTTCAAATCCCCAGCTTCTTTAGTGTAAACATGGAACCATTTTACAGAAAGCAAAAAATTCTCATTTGACAAGCATGGGATTTAATTTCTAGTTTGCAGTTGATATATTGCCAATCGAGAGAGGTAGCTCTGAAGAAAAACATGAATTTCATAGATTGAATAAAAATATTTCTTCCTTCACTGTTTGAATTCTGCCATTAGCATGTGTTATAGACCTGTTGTTTTAGGTCATGCTGTTCTCAGTCTTGAACCTAAAACTTTACACAGAGCTGACCATAAAATAATTCTGCAGTTATGCTAGTTCGTTTTGTTAGCGCCATAATTGGCTATACATTAAACACTATTTAATGTTTGCAGTGCCATTTAATTTTTCTCCCACTTAAGCCATGTAATCACAGATTCAGACTAACTTTCATTCATTAGATGACTAAAGAATGGAATGAAATACTTGAAGAGTACTGTCCATATAGGGACAGGGAATCTCTAATTGCTTACCTCAGAAGACCGTGAAAATAGTTGCTAATTGCCGAGAATACGTTCATTCAAATATGGAAAGAAACAACTCTGTGACATGCACACAGAAATCTTAAATTCCAAAGTCCTAATGCTAACCATGGTATGCAAACTATTGAATCCCATTGGAACACTAATTTTATTTCTACAAATTGATGATATCCAGTGATTTTAAAATGTTTGTGCAATTTTTGCATTAAACATTTTTGATTGATGTGTGTACCTGTGATATATTTTTCATAGCACAGTACAGTTCCAGCTTTAGCTTTCAGTTACCAGTTGTTGCAGTTCTTTATTGTGCCAGGTCCTTAGGCCTTCTACTTATATTCATTCTGGGGGCTGTTTTTACTGGTCAGGTGACTCAACATGGGGCTTATGGAGAAAAAGGACAAAAGGGAGAACCAGCTGTGATTGAACCTGTAAGTACAGACGTGGGTGAGTTTTTCTTTAGCACTATATAGCTTGCACACTGTTGATAAATCGTTTTCAAACTACGTCATTCATGATACAATGACAGTAACCTTATCCATGATCTCTGAAACAATCACCTGCAGTGTGGACTGTGTAAAGGTGGCAAAAGACAGTAGCCTGTTCAGCCTTCTCCTTCTGTTTCACAAGAGACTAACCACATACCACTTAAAACAAGGAGAATCTTCTTGTCTAGGAAAAAACAGAGCATAGATCTGCTCTTCAGGGCAATTAGCGTAACTGCTGCTTGGACAAACGTGCAGCGATATCTTCCAACCTCCAGCTCAGGTAACACTGTAAGTACAGGTTTCAGCATGGGCTGGGAAGTCCACCTAAGAGCCTAAATAAATGCTTGGATGTTTAACCCATGCTTGTGCAATCAAACTGCTGAAGGTATAATTAAATACTTGTTTCAAAGGTCATAACTTGGTCATAATTACAGTAAAGGAGCACAAGCCTACATATTTCTTCTCATCTTTAAGTAGTGTGGTAATTTGGCTTTTGTAGCAGGATGTTATACTACTGGGCGATGGTTATAAAATAAAATATACCTGGATTTTAAAAAGATTGTATGAAAATGTTCTATTTTTTAATATGTGCCAGGAGTTCAGTGCTGGTGTGGTTCATTCTTTTAGAATTTTCAAGGACTGCTTTCAAATATCTATGTGACTCAAATAGAATTTAAAGTTTGGTCTGTTTTCTCTTTCATAGCAAATGAAGAACAGAATATTAAGGGGAAGAAATATCTAAAGTTGAAGCATGATAAAATACTATTATGTGTCATCATTACATAAACCTCAGACTCTGGATTCCATGATCAAAGAACTCCTTTTGATTCTATATTGCTATCATAGGATTAGCATTTGTTTCAGTTGCCATTCACCAGAGATAGAGGAATACAGTAATGAATAAGCTGTATGCTAAGGCTGACTTGTCAGTCATAATCCGTGAAGAAGCTCACTATGCATTATCTCATAAAATGCATAGGTTTTTAGAGTTTGCAAGAGATAGTTCAATTCCATAATACTGGAGAGGTACCCATTGCCGCTATCCAACATTTTTGGAGTTCACTACAGCTAGCTTCCTGCTCTCTTGCCCAGTCTTCCTTCCTGTGGAAAGCCAGGTATAGGTGGAGGTCATCTGTTCCTGGATCTTAGTGTGACCTGGAAATCAGACTGGCATCTACGCTCTGAAAACTTATTATGAGGTGCTATAGGAGCCTGAGTCTAAAAATAACTGGAGTTATTCACAATGACAATAACAATATATTAAAAATAAAATGTTATTGTGAAACTAGCACTACAAGATCCCTGTAGCCTAAAAGTCTTTCTAATTTTTAAGTAAAAGAACAATTCAGATTCTAATTCTAGTAAATGACCTATGAAGATCTCAACGTAATTCCTAAAAAAGAAATCAAAATAGGTTTAAAACATCTTACAGCAGCTGAATTTAAAGTGCATTCCTTTTGTTTATTATTTTTTTTTTAGTTAAAAACTTGTAGGACAAAAAAGACATCCCACAAACTTTTTCAACAAAATTCTATAGTATTATACTATGCGGACAGAATATCCTAAGAAAAGTTTGTCATAAAACTAAGAAATATTAGTTTTAATAATTCAGCTAGAAAAATTGTTATGTCTTTGTCCAAGATGTGACCAGTTAGTATCTTTTTTCCTCTCCACAACAGGGTATGCTCATTGAAGGACCGCCAGGACCAAGAGGACCTGCTGTATGTAGATTAATTACGATTTCTTTTTATTGCCATTGTGTTTCGATATTCCTGAGTTAAAACAAAATTAATCTTATCACAGTTCACAGGGGATGTATTGAAGTTAGTATTTTAAGAAGGACGTAAATAAGGGTCATGTCCAGCATTTTCAGTGAGAGCATGCTGCAAGCTGAGTGCATGTGAAAATCAAATACTTCCAAGTATTAACTAGAAATCTTCATAAGAAAAAAAAAAAAAGTTATGCACTAATATATGCAATTTTCTCAAAATATGTATTCAACGTAACTTTCAAAAAAAAAAATTCAAAAGCATTCTGCGAGTCATCATTCAACATAATAATTTGTCATTCATTTTCCATAGGGTCTTACAGGTCCCCCAGGTTTACAAGGCCCTGTTGGTCCTCCAGGTGACCCTGGTGAAAGGGTAAGTCAACATACAGATTATCCTGGTATTCGTGGTATGTCTTGCATTAATTATACAAGAGCAAGTGTGTTAGATCCTGATCTGAAAAACAGCTTAAGAAAATTCAAGGGAACTGATTAACTCAGCTGAGTGCATCAACTGAAAAACTGGATAAATATTTAATTAATGGTAGAAATATCTTCTATATGAAAGTGGAAAAGAATAAAGTTCCAGTTTGCCTGTATGTCTGTGTACATTTTAATGTAAATAATTTTAAAATAGAAAAAAGCAGTAGGTTAAAATATCTTGTTTGCATCTCGAAAAAATCAATATGAACTCAGCCATAAAATATAGAGAAGCAGAGAAAAACAAGATCATTATTATACAGAATTTGTGAGTGAAAAATGCTAAGAAGATGCATTTGCCTCAATAAATAGATAATAGCAACAACATTTCACCTTGATAATAAACCAGCATACACTCTTATTTCACATTAACTGTATTTTGATTAGTAGATTAGTAGATCAACTGTATTTTGGAATCTGATTTATTTTGGAATCTAAACTGATAAAATTGGAATTTTAACACATTAAAATGGAATAAATCCATATAATACTCAGGTTTTAACCTAACTGCTCACTACGTTGCTTATAAGAAAATTCTTGAATAAACACATCAAGTTCCTGCTGTGGAGTAGACTTCATTTCTTGTATTAAAAAAGATGCATTATACAAAGAGATAATTGTAGGAATTAGTTACCAAACCCACTGGAACAATGCAGATGTTTGCAACTAGATTCTGCTCTCAGATTCAATCCCAGTGAAGTAATGTGCCTGACTTCAATATATGTGTAGGCACATATGGTTATTTTCTTATAAAACAATCAGTGTACACGAATAAAGGCTGTAGCTCTTTCTATAACTATTCTGACTAGTTTTCATCTTAGGCTAAAAAGCTAGAAAAGTAACATTGCCTCTCCAGGAAAGGAACACAGTTTAAGTAAAAAATGTCTGTGGTTCTTCAGCTGTTGTAATAAATTATTCTGTCATCCTAATCCTAATATTGGGTATAAGATAATTGTGAAATGAATGAACATACCCTTCTGTAGAAGGCCACTTATGCACAAGTCTCACCTGTATTCACTGCATAAATTAATTTCACTCACATAAATGCTGCCATGGGAGAAAAAAGTGAAACAAGAACCCTAAATTCACTTGGTAACACAAAGACTCATAATCATATGGCATAAAGTTGCTACAGGTCAGAGTGAAGGTTCTTTGAGTGCCTTGTGGATGCATTTAACAGTTTTTTAACATTAACTCTGAAATGCCCAGATATATAATGCTTCTTTCTAATTATGACAACATCATGTTATTCAATACTTTTTAATTGGCAATAATTTTCTATTTACAGCCTACCTACAGTATGCCATTAATAGGGATTTGTTCTATGATGTTCCTGACTTTTTTGGAGAAAGAGCTAAAAATAACAGATTATTGATCTTAATTCCCTGAGAGGAAAAAAGACCACATTTTTTAGTATCATCTTTCCCATTGTTTTCTTCAACTCATGAGTGCGAAAAAGAATCACTTAAGTCAGTTTGATGTTTGTTGATCTGTCATTGCAACCCTGCAGAGTCATTCTTGTGAATGTATACTTTTTTTCTCAAACATGCAGTATGCAAATGAGCACTCATAACACAGGTCCTTCATGTCCTTGACAGCTTCATTTAGTAAAACTGCAGCCTGCAAACTGCTGGGACAAAAGATGCAATTCGATAATCAGTTGTCACAACAGAGGTGTTAATCAGCATAGCACTGCCTGTTGGCAACCATATGAATTGTGTACACACTGGTATATTTTTTCAACTGTAGATTATACAAAAAATGTAGCTCTTTTTAAATGGGCACAGAAGAAGGAACTCATGAAAATGCATTCCAAGTCATAACTGTAGGACTTATATAGCCATTCAAAATTAAACATACTCAAAATTTTTTAAAGAAAATCAGCAGTGTTAGTTTTCTATGTATCAGATAAAATAAACACTGGAACACCTCAAGTCAGCCTAACTTATGAAATCTAGGTTCTCCTCACATCATTTTCAAACAATTTGTGTGATAATTAGAGAGAATATCTTTCTTCCCTATTGCTGAATGTTTTCCCCAAGCCTGCTTCTTTAGCTACCACAATAACATTCCCAGAGTGCCTCATTATGAATACAAGCTTAAGTGATTCAAACGTTTTCCATAAATAACTGTCCTTTCACTCTCATCCCTTTTTCTGTCATCCTTGTATTCTCCCAGGGTCCACCTGGTCGTCCTGGTCTCCCTGGTGCTGATGGTTTAGCAGGTCCCCCAGGTACCATGTTAATGCTACCGGTAAGTTGCGTTGTGGTTCTAGGGTAGAGAGACTCCAAAAAGATAGTGTTTCAATAAATGTAAAGGTACTTACTTTTTCATCTGATTTTGTCTTTGGAATGAGATGATACAGTTTCTCATATGGTTTAATCATTTGGAGGTCTTTGTTTATTTGTTTGCTTTTCTTTTCAGAGAATAGGCATTAGCTGCTGCATGGCTGCCTGATTAGAACCTACATGACTGTATTGCATATGCTAAAATGGTCCTTACTTTTTCAACAGTAGCTGTTATCTGATACATATTTCCCAAACAAGGAATTTGCTGTTCCACAAAGGCAGATGTGTGCTTTCAAATCTCCTTCACTTGGAGAGTTTTAAACATTCTTTGCCTAAAATTGGACTTCACTGTCCTCTTTGAAAAGTCAGAGCATCCTTTGAATAGAAATAGATGCACATAGCCAGCTCTTCTCCCACTGGAATTTAAGCAAAACACCATCTGTTTTAGCAGGTGGAGGGACAAGCTCAGAGCCCTCAAAAGTGTCTTGCAGCTTTTTAGTATGAGATGCATTGTGCATGGAAGTTATTATTCCAGAGTGTGTATAGTTGAAAGATTTGATGACTAATAACATACCAGAGTAATAATAAAGCAATTGTAAAGGAAAGGGCAATATTTTCTGTGAGATTATCTTTGTAAAAAAGGTCAGAGCTGTAGTTACATCAGTTCTGTTCCAAGAGGCAAGACTCCATCAGTATCAATGAGGAAAGGATGATTTAAATTTTATTTTTTATTTAAGAAACAATCAAGGAAAGATTATCAAAGAAAGGTAGTGTTTTTTGTCTCATGCTTGCGCTAGTGTTTTGTTATCACAGCTGGCTGTATAACGCAAATATTTAGTGCCCAACAATTAGTTGGTGAAAAAATGCCACTTGTGTATTATTCCCAAATCATTCTTCCAAATGTAATTGCTGTGCCAGAAGAGGTTGATTCACCACTTTGTTCCATTAAAAGTAGTAAGTGTGGACTAATACTATACCTATCAGTCAATTTATAAAATATCACAAGCCTTTGTTTAAGACATTAATCACTCTGAGCTCAAGTAGTTTTCCAAGTTCAAAGAGAGGTTTCTCAGGAAGAATTTCTTAATTGGCTTCAGTTGTTCTGAATTCTGTCCTAGTAGTTTAACCAACATCCAGACTTCTTTACCATTTTCATTTACCATCTTATTTTCAGGACATCATATTGTTTCTGAGTCTGTGGCTCAGGTTGATCTTTGCTAACTATTTGAAATACACTACTATTCTACTGATTTTCTAAACATTCAGTGGAGAAAGTGGTATCCTCCAGGTCTAGTTCCAGCTGCAACGAGGTGATATAGTTTTTTCTAAAAATCAGGTGCTGTTTAAATAGTTAATCACACAAAATGAGGATAGATGTTTTGAAGTATAAACTGTCACTTTTATTTTTAGCAGATTTCCAAGTTAATGAGCATTTCTTGGGAGTTTTATTACTCTAGACAGTGTTGCTGTCATCACTTTTATAGTCATAATTCTCATTCCTAATTGCTTATTCTCCCTCAGCCACTTACAAGCTCCACTGAGAGCTGCTATCCTTTTATTACAGATGACCTGCCGACCAGCTTGAGACCCAAAGTGTAAAGGAGTAAATCTGGCAGTAGCTACACTAACTTTTCTCAGAGATACATTCTGAGTCCTAAAGGGCATGTAGAGAGGCCTTTGTGAGGCTCTTCGTTATCATGTGTGGGGCTTGAATTCGTAAAAATAGGTTCACTCTTTCAATGGATGCAAGATAACTAATTGCTTGGAACAATATTTTGAAAGTAGTGTTGATTCTGCATTATGCAGATGCCTACAGAGCCATCTGGCTTCCTTTCAAATGGCAGCAAGCTCGATAGTTCTCTTCCTTTCTCATTTGAGAAGAGTCAGGTACTTATTTGCAAGGGCTTAAAGCAAGTAAGTTTTCCATAACTTTTCCAAAGAAAGTCTTTCATTCTGATCTTATTATGATTGCAGAAGAAAAACTTCAGTTGCCATGCCAACTCTGGGCATAGGTAAACCATACAAACAGACTGCTGTGAACAGTGGAAGATTCACTGCCCTGACATCCACTGTGCTCATGTCATACCTTTGGAAAACCATGCTACTTGTTGCAGCTCAGTGTCCCTCCAAAACTGCAAAGCTTCTACCAGCAGTTTCATGAACAATAACAGATCATGAGTGCAGAGTATTCGTTAGCTTATTTTGAAATTGTCAGAAATTACAAAAAACTGTTTCCTCTTAGATACCAAATGTCTTTTTCACATTGAATTCTGCCTTAAGTTAAATTTAATTTTTATGTATATATCTAAAAACGCACTAAAAGTTAATTAACTTTTATACGTTTTAATTTTTAAGAAATACATTAAAGAATATATTTTCACTTAAGCAATTAGATTTGTTCTTCAGATCTAAAATCTTACTCTTAATACATATACTGGATCCAGTGGCTCAACTCCCCAGTTCAGCAATCTACTGAAGTTAATGAAGTGAACTAAATATTGAGACTCAGTGTCTTCAGAGTGGTTTACATGGTTGCAGTGAATAATAAGTGTGGTTTTCATTTTATAAACTCTGAATTCCATTTCTTTTTTTGATACCTGTAGTTCCGCTTTGGTGGAGATGGTGAGAAGGGCCCAACAATCTCAGCTCAGGAAGCTCAAGCACAAGCTATTCTTCAGCAAGCAAGGGTGAGCACAAGGAGCCTGCAAATAGAACTGCCACAAGAGTATAATTCCAAATGAATTTCCATTTTATGACATTCAGAGTGTGAAGTAAACAGCTGTAAGCATCATTTCATGACAGTAGACATCGTTATGACAGAATACACTCACTACTGAGTGAATGATGGGGTCTATTTGCTGATGTATTTACATTGTCTTAAAACAAAATCTGTATGCTGGGCTGGCAGCTTTTTCTTGGCACCTGATGCCTTGTTCTGTTTGTTTTCTCAGATTGCAATGAGAGGTCCACCTGGTCCCATGGGACTCACTGGAAGACCAGGTCCTGTGGTATGTAAGCAAAACAGAGACATGAATCTAAGAGCACTCCAATAAAAGTTCACTGATCTCACTCTGACACTGCCTGCACCTCTGTACATATTCTTATTTTATTTGAAAAGAAATTGCTATAATTAAGGTCACAGTTTTTATTGTTATTTGAAGATTACAATGCAGCCTGAACACTAAATGAGTTTTTAATGTAGATTTTGGAATGTTTGAACACTGGTGGACTTAGGCTACAAAGCAGTCTTACATAGATAACTACATTTGCCTCTATAGTCAGTAATCTCTGTGACAATATTTACAAAGTTTCTGGTAGCAAATATGAAACACTACAGAAGAATATACTAAAGTAAGACTGTGCAGAATGGCTGTGACTATTTAAGCTGAATCTGGAAATTCTTAAGATACATTATGTAGGCAATCAAAAATAACATTGATTACTAAAATAATTGTTGCATTTTTTTTACTTAAGACCTGAATTTGGCCTGTACTGCTAATACTGAATGATCTGGGAAATGTCCCTGTGGGATATTTTGAAAGCTTGTATGTTTTAAGTCTATACACAGAACACAAACAACAGTTTTTCTAAGGATATGTAAAACAGCTTTTTGGTTACAAACAGACTGGCTACTGTAATGCCTATAGAGACTTCAAAAGGGCAATCAATGTCCAATGAAAGTGCAAAAACAGATAGGAAGTTGAGCAAGCCAAAATCACCTGGTTTATCTGCCAATTGCAATTTCCTCTCTTAGAAGATGGATATTTCAGATACAGTAGTCTACTAAATGGTGTTATTTAGCATTTAAGATATTTTAAAAGCTATTATAGAGTATCTGTAGTATGAAGTAAAATAAATGCTGTAGCCAAAATCATAAGCATTTTAGAAAAAATCTCTTTTCTGAGTTCTCCCAGGTGACTGTATTTATTCTCTGACATGGAGTGAAATTCTCTTTTAAAGATTGTATAGCATCCATTTTTGAAAGAGTCTTTTTATTTGGAAACTTAATTTGTCTATTTTGGTGGCACAGCTGGGTTGAAAAATATTTGACCTCCATTAATTTGATCTATGTCTGCTGTAATTTTTACTTCTATTGTTTATTGTGGGAGGCTGCTGAAGGAATGTTTTAAGGATAATACAGAATACTTTCAATCTTGTTCTTACCTGATCCTAACAGCTCAACATTCCCTTCAATGACTTTTGAAAGCTATGTAGAACTAAAACTTCTCTAAATTGTGTTCTGGGTTGGTTCAGCAGTGCTTTACCTCAACTTCAAATGGAGCCAAAATTCCTGTTTCAGTTTATTCTGTGCTCCAAATCTCATTAACCTAGCTCTGTCTGTCTAGATGAAATATACTGGTTACAGACAAATCATAGCTAAATATCTTATCAAAATCTCACTCAGTCCCCAGAAACTAAAATTAGTAGGCTTTGGTTATGTTTTTAAGCAGATGAATGCAAGAGTAATTATTTTCTAGAGTAATTCATCCAAAATGGAATGTTTCAAACAATTGCAGAAATTTGCCACAGTCGTCTGATTGATCACAATTAGATATGTGGCAAAGTCAGACAGGTTGAGTTTATTTAAATAACTAATACACTATTTCCAGCAGTGATTTAGATTAGGAGACCTGCAGGATAACATTAAGTCTGTATAGACAGAATAGTTATAGAACTGCTATAAGCAAGGAATTAGTTTGTAAATAAAATGTTTTATTGACAGCGGGTTATATGCCTTTAGTTATATTTTATACCAGGTACATTTTCAAAGTCATCATGTATTTTTGTATACAAAATTTAACTAAGCAACATTAATAGATGTTTTTCTACTAAGCCACCAGGAGGCTCTAGAAATCCAACTCTTTCATCTGGCCTACAGTTGCAGAAGCACCTGCAGATTCTTGATGTGTTTGTGTGTTCAGATTATTTAAATTAATGAAATAATAGGATCTCTTCATCTTAATATGAACTGTACTGTGCTAATTTAGTAGCCAGTGAGACACAGACAAGCACATAATTCATTAAAAATCTTAAACACAGGTTTCTTGTAGCCCCAGTCTGGCTTCAACTGAGTATGGAGTTCACATAATTGATTAGCGTAGAATGCAAAATAAATTTCGGCTTACTGATGTTAATTAAAAGCAGAGTTTACAACAGTTGCCATCTATCACTACTGTTCTTTCCGCTGCCATTACCAGAGATATGATTTTCTATTTGCTTAGAATTTGATTCAGTACTTGGAATGTTGGTGGGACTTTTTCCATTCCGCGATGCTAGATCCAGCATTAAGCTAAGCCTTGAGACAACTTCTTACTTTGAATGGTCACCATGGTAAACATGGGAGGAGGATCAGTCTTCCAAGGTCTGAAAGATTCTTTTTGTGTTGAATACCTTAATTTGGTTATGAACCGCTACAGAGGTCAGAAATGCAAAAAAAAACTTTTACCCATCGTACTTAAATATGTACCTTCCCTGAGACTGTATTCTATGTCAGCATGTCCAGAGACTGAGAGAGAAAACTGTGAAGACTACTAATTTTGCCTCAGATTCCACATAGCCTAGGTGAAGATTTATTTTAGGTCTTTTCACAGGTAAAACTGAAGATCTGTATCATTTGATCACAGCAAAAATAAAAGTGCACTTTTTCATGGCAGATGCAGAAATATTTTGATTAAAATATCACTGTAGGTTATGGTAAGATTGCATCAGTTAGTGATCTTTGAATTGAACTCTATGTTTTCTTCTGTGAAACACAGAAACGGATAAAGGTGAGAAGAGGTGGATTTAATTTCTGTTGGCTTCCTTGAGGCTGGTGAACTTTTGTTTGAATGCAATCTGTGCTCATATTTAGCTTTCAAGTATTATTATAGCACAAAGTATCACTTCTGATTTCATTCAAATTTGCAGGAATTTTTCTTTAGTAGGAGAAAGATTTTTGACCAGTAGTCTCAAGGTCTATACAATGTGCACTGGGTAATACCTTCAGATTCAAAGGGTGAATTCACACTACATAATAAACAGGAGATTGTTTTTTTTCTCCATGTCAATATATAGGAATAGAAAAATAACTTAGCAACTTAAAGTTCTGTATTCAAATAATATTTTGCTTTTTTTCATCAAGGGAGGACCTGGAGCAGCAGGTGCTAAGGGAGAAAGTGGTGAACCAGGTCCTCAGGTACAATAATATTGCTTGTTATGTTTGAACTTGTTTACTCTCACAAAAAATTCATTTATATCTCTTCAAAGAAAATGGTTAATGATGTGCTTTCCACATGCAGTTGAGGAAAAATAGCTTTTACAATACAGACTTAATAAAATGTGTTAGCTTGATTTTTCATTTTGAATTTGAAAGCCCATCTGCCTTTACAAAAGAAAGAACAGTTATAACTTCTGGAATGTCACTTTTATCTCTGTTCAGTAATTAAATGTCAATCTGCATGTATATAGTCTTGGGCTGTAATCTCATCGGGTCTCATAAGCTGAGAGGTTCTATTTACTAAATAAACAGGAATATTTTCAAGAACTCAATGACATAGCAAGAAGGGGTCTTTAGGAATCAGCGCATACTTTTACTCTCATTTTACTATTATATCAGCTCCTGTGGTGATGTAAAAGAATACGGAAATATTTTAGTTTATACCTTAAAGTAATATGGGATTCATAAAGATATCATGGTATGTGTCTCTGGAACAATAATTTTGCCATATTCCAAGTGGTATCATGGCTCAGCTACATTATTAAGTACCTGTCTTATAACTGAACATGGATATTTGCAGAAGAAAAAGAAAGTAATTGAACAATTGTGAACAACTGGCCAGTCTTCTAGTTTGCATACTTACATTGTTAGCATTGTTTCTCTTCCTACTCAATATTTTTGGATGCTAGTCCTTAATCACTGTTATTTCTATGCAAGGAAGACACATTTGGATGGGTGATAAGAATACTTTTACAGAAACATACACCCACTCAACCTACAGTGATAGTTACATGTCTGAACAGTGCAATCAGGTTTTTCAGTCTGAAGTAATTTGATTCTCCTCTAGTTAAAGCTCTGCTCTATAAAGCTAAGACAGCATGTGATCTATTTACGAGCACAACTCCTGCTTGCATATGAATTAGAAATCTGAAATAAGCACTCTTCAGTTTTCATCAAATAATTATTATGTGCCTAAAATAATTTCGGTATGACAGGAACAAGAATTTTCAAATTACAGGCTTGGGATCTTCAAAGTCATCAAAAGAATATAACAAGCTTTTAAGTAAAGGGGCCAATTGTGCCATGTGTAGTGTCATGAAAACTAGTGTTAAAACAGAGTTAAGCCAGATTGGATGATTGTGTTCTATTAATATAAATCAGCATTTAAAAAGTATAATCTATCATCTCCCGGGGAAAAAAAAAAAGTCGCCTCTCAGTATAAAAAGCCAACCCTGTTCCTGAGTTGAGATATTTAACTAGGTTTTTGCTGTACTCTTTAAACTCAGGGTCCTCGTGGTGTTCAAGGTGCCCCTGGTCCAAGTGGAAAAGCTGGCAAACGGGTAGGTGGCATACATATCAATCCTGCTCTGGGTAAATAGATGCTATTTAGATGTTTAAATATTACTATTTTCACTGCATTTTCAACTGTTTTCCCTTTTGCATTTCTGCAGGGACGGCCTGGAGCTGATGGTGCCAGAGGAATGCCAGGAGAACCTGGTGCAAAGGTAAATAATGAGACCTTGGAATGGTCTGGATGGATTTTAAGCAAGCACCACAGTTTCCAGCCAGGCCAAACCAAAATTCTCCTCTCATGTGAAAATACTGAGGTTTCAGATAGCTGGGTCAAATGCAAAAGCTGAGAATGAATCATGTATTTGAAATATGCTAATTAATGGTAATGGTTAGTAGCCTGACCTTGAAATAACTAAATTCTTTGGGCATGATTATGTCCCTCTTAGTTTTTATTTACAGAGTATCAGCAGTAATGAAATCAATCTTGTAACTACAAAGGGCAGCTAGAATTGAGCTTTTCAATTCAGTTTAGACTTCTTTTTATAAACACCATACCTACAGTGCAGTAAAGAAGCTGGTGTGGCATATTTTCTAGCTGTAATACATAGAGAAAACTTTGAGAGTTTTATTGTTGTACTCCCCCCTTCCATATATTTCATTCAATAAGAAAATGTAACATTACTCAAAATTAACACAGAAAGAAGATGCAATTTACTCAGAGTAATATAGACTGTAAGCAGTAATTTACAGAAACTGTGATTTCTTCTCTACAAGGGTGACAGAGGATTCGATGGTCTTCCTGGCCTCCCTGGTGACAAAGGTAACAGGGTAAGAAAAACATGCATATTTATACAACGATACAATCACAGAAATAATGTGCTATTCATTAAGAATAGCACGAACAACTGTGAGGAAAGCTGAAACAGAATGTCAGCATTTCACACTACAGAATAATATCTGTCTTGTCAGGTAATGTGTTCCTCAAAATATTTTAGTACTATCAATCAACCAGACTACAGTTCACACATATTATTGGTTTAAATATATTTTTAGAATTCAGATCATATCTTCAGGCTTTGCTCTAGGCTTTTGGGTAGATTTTTTTGTTGTTGTTTTTGATGATGAAATTTGTCTGCAAGATTTAAATTGATTGTTAAGGGAAACAGTAGCACAGTAAATTAGCATTACATTTCTGTATCAGGAGTATGAAAATTTTTAACCTGCAAGAATCTTGCTCAAAAACTGCATTTGAAACTGCAAACTGAACTTTTTAGTGTGGCTCATTCCAACAACTTCAGATTCATGACAGATCAAAGTCATATCAGATAATTTGGGAAAATTTGAAATAATCCTTAAAACAACTAATATACTAGCTCCTGTTCTCATACCAATTGAGAGGATGAGGTTGCATCTTTCACAGCCGAGGCTTTCTGCTTTAAATTATACCCCTAAGACAGATAGTAATAACATGTTCTACTGAGTGTAAAGCCTGGTAAATGCATAAAAAAACAGTGGGTAGGAATTTCAGAACTAAATATTACCATGTGTGCTGATGACCAAGGAATGATTCTAGCTCTCACCCTTCAAGGCATTAGTATGGTTGCTGCCCTTCTTGGAAAATGTCACCAGTGTTGACTACTGGTCTGTGACTTTGTGCTTTGTAACAACATCTAAGGATACTCTCTTGAGTTCTTTCAGCAATAGAAAAAGAATTTTTATTGTCATGCAAATATCTTGATCCTTTTCTGTCACTCCTTCTTATTAATATGTAAGGTAATCAGCACTTCACAGAATTGAAATTTGGCTTCATCAGCATGTGACCAGCAGAGGGGGCTAGACATTAAGTTCTTGTTACGACTCTGAAGGCTAAGCAGAAATTGGTTCAGAGCCAGGGTACGTGTCTTGTCTGCTTTCCAACCTTTAATGGTAGAATCGTCAGTCCATAGGACATTCTGTATCATAAAGAATTTTTTTTTCCAAATATTTTATTTGTCCCATATTTCCTAAATAAATGAGAACTGAAATTGAATAACTTTGTATTGAAATTTATGACGTGTTAATGAAAACAAATGTTTCTTTTTGTCATTTTTTTCATCTCACTATTTAAAAATCACTGCATTCTCATGTTTGTTTGGCAGTCTTCTTTAAAATTACTAACTATATTCCCTCTGAAATCAGCTCAGTTCAAAGCCAGACCAGATAGCGAGACCTCTTTGGATTCATAACTACTTGACAGCACGTAATATAAATATTCAGTTCTCTTTGGCTTAAAATAAACAGAAAAATATGACAAGAGAAATGCTTTTTTTTCTATTGTGTTTGCGTTTCAGCATAAAAATAAGCAAGAGACTATCTACTAGAAGTAAAGGTCTGAGGAAAAAGAAATTCTGGCTTTGGCAGAACACTGGAAGAAAAGAATCAGAGTACTGAACAACTGAGAGTGCTGATAGGGTAGTTGTGTTCTGACGTATGACAATACAGGACACTGAATGCAAGCTTCTAATCTCTTTTTGAGTGCCATGCTATTGCAAGACAAGAAAGGTAGCTCTCCAGAGGCTAAGCTCTTTAAACATCTGAAGGTTTAAGTCAGTTTTTACCTAGATATTAATTAGAAGTTAAAACACATTATGCATCTCGTGAGTCATCTTTCAGTAGCATCTTTTAGCATGCAGAAAACCACATACTGTACCAGAAAATCATGTAGAATAGTTTCAAAACTTATCAAAATGTCAAAACTGCCGTAGTTATTAATCTTCTATCTCTGAAAGTGCAGTTCATAGAATTTCATTCTTTCCAGTAACGACTCCAACTTTTAGAGAAAAGAAATTGAATAAAATCCTAATACTTTTAATACAAGAACACTCTGGGAGAAGAGACCAAGCTACCTAAAATCCCCTAGGAAAGTTAAATTTTGAAAGCATGAAATGGAGCCACTGAAGAGTGATTCCATATATCTCTGCAATAATCCTCTGCAGTGGTCATGCTCCTTGGAGGCAATGATTGAATTAAGGAAAACAGGATGAATACTTGGTTGTTGTCCAATGCCATAAGGAAGTCACAGTCTAAAAACCTGCTGCCTAGAAAGAGGTTGGTCAGTGGTGTTAGAGCTATGCTGCACACTAGTTCTCTTTAGAAGAGAAAGAAAAATAAATCCTAAAAGTGTGTAGTCCAGAATATACTGAGCTTTGCATACTGAGACTTGAAAAGCCCCAGCCTCAGGGGAAGTGTGGAAGTCTGGCTGCATTCCAAAACCTCTGACAAATCAGTCCTACTGCTCTGAATGACTGGTGCCAGGGTGGGTGGCTCTGAAAGGCAGTCAGTGAACTTCACTGCGTAGATTCCAGGGCCTTACAACTGGTGTGTTAACTCCTGATGCATGCACAGCTTCCTTATTTTCCTAGCAGAAATACATTGTGTAAGGGAGGAGATGAAGAAAATGTGTGTACATATAATTAAGACTGACTTTTGGAGCAGCAACTTCTGTATGTTCTGGGGCAATGTTAGAGAACAAAATTTTACGAACAGATATTTCATTGTTTCAGTAATGGTCATTTGTTTTTGTAATAAAGTAATGAAAGACTTTACTGAGTACTGTAACAGATTAATATCATTATGTTAACACATTTTGATACATCACACTGCAGCTAATTTATTTATTTTCATTTCCTTTCCCATTCTTTGTTGTTTTCAGACACAGATGTTATTTTAATAACTTTTCTTGTTCTACAGGGAGACCGTGGCCCACAGGGACCTCCTGGCTTACCTGGTGAAGATGGATCAAGAGTAAGCTGCTATTTACTTCAGATTCACAGTAAAACTGGGAGTGAATCCATGTAATGGAAATACAGTCATAATATCTGCTCTTTTTTCTTTTCTAAAATTTGTATTTCCTTTGTACAAAAACAGGGAGAAGATGGGGAAGTTGGACCAAGAGGTCTCCCAGGTGAAGCTGTAAGCAATGCTTTCTTTGTTTCTGACCAGTACACTGTTTTACAAACAAATGTAATTTGTTTCTTTCTATTGTAATGTGATTTCTTTCTATTGAATTGTTTTGGGTTCCAGATATAAAAATTTGTGCACATATATGTATATTTAGAGAATACTGATATTACCTGAAAAGTAAGCAAATGATCTGTTTTCTTGGAGCTGAAACATCACTCACAAAATCAGAATTAAATCAGATGCATATCTAGATAAGTATTCACCACTCCAATAGTCACACAGCCTATTTCTTATCCGTTTGAGCTAGTTTAAAATATGTCACTGCAGACATGAGAACATATCCAAACCCCTGTTGTTTTGAAAATATTTTCCAAACATTTATTTATTCAAAAATAAGCCTTTTTTTTTCCTACTACTGTTCTTCAGTGTATATTTTTATGCTTGTTTCCAATACAGAAGTTCCACTGTTGTCAGTTAGAATTCTGCAGGTGTTGTCACTGCAGAGCAGAGTTCTGCATTGCAGGCAAGAAATCAAGCCTCAGAAAGGGGATTTTTTACCCTAAACCTATGATATACTGCTGTCTACTTGCTAAATGACAAGAAAATACTACAGTCAGAATATTAGTGACTTGTATCTTTATCGTACATGAGGAAACTGGAGACGCTGTCCTGCCTACTTTAGCAAGTGTGATATGAATGATATGAGTGATGACACAAATCATGAAAATTATTTTTCATTTCCATAGGGTATAGCCAAAAGTTTATGCTGCAGAGCAAATCTTGCTCACTTGATCTAGAATAGCCCTTGGTCTTTATGGATTTTTTTGTTTAGGGGAAAGAAAAACAAGCCTCACTGTGTCTATCAGAATACCTTGCATTAATTCGAATAAAATGATTAGTAATTGTTAATAATTTATTTGATCTTTACTAAAAATAAAAGCACTGTTTGTTACTGTAAATAGTAGTAGAAATTATGATAGACCATTGTTTTTACTAAAAATAGGAGTACAAATGTATACTACTGTTCATGTCAGATCTTCACACCAAAACAGTGATGAAACCTCAGTGTATATACTGTACCAGCTTTCTGTACCTTTGTCTGAAATGACAGCACAACTGACTGTATCAAAGTTTGTCCTTTTCTGATTTTCTGTTCAAACCTATGATAGGCTTCAGGAGAATGTATTATTGGTGATTTTCTTTCCTTCTTTTCCTCCTTCCATTTTTTTCCTTCTCCCCTAGCTCCCATGAAGGCATTTACTTATCATTCTGCTCCTTCTGACATTCCTCACCCAGTCCTGCTTCTTGTTCAAAAATAGTCAGGCAGGTGTTAATAAGAATTTCTTGTCTTTCAGGGTCCACGGGGACTACTGGGTCCCAGAGGTACACCTGGTCCCCCTGGACAACCTGTACGTATGAACTGTTTTGTATTTGTCATTTCTAGAAGAAAAAATGAAAGTCCATTGAAAGCTGCTTGTGTTTCTGTTGTTCGTTGCAGGGCATTGCAGGTATTGATGGACCTTCAGGCCCAAAGGGAAACATGGTGAGTAAATTGGAAATTAAAAAGGGAGTGAATTCTAAAAACCTTTTCAACATTCCCTTGTCCCTGCCACTGTGCCATCCCTTCCATTTAATTGAACTTTTTTGTCCTCACATTCAGATGCCTCATGTCTTACACTGAAAAGAAAACTTTCTATTTCTTAGCCTTCAACCATAAGCAATAAGACTTAACCATGCTTTCTTCTCAACTTCTTTAGCGCTATGGGCTCTAGTGCTCAGGTCCTATATGTGGTCTGTTTTTTTTTTTAAAAGTCTATCATATGGATTGAGAGTTGGTGGTAGTAAAATTCTGAGAGGGAGGAACAAAGATGAGGAACAAAAATGACTTTTTCTTCCTTCTAGTCCTGACAACGAAGATCTATAATGCAGAAAAGCAAACCTAATGCCTTGTTTCTTTTTTTAATTTTTTTTGTATGGTAGGGTCCTCAAGGGGAGCCAGGACCCCCTGGTCAGCAAGGAATCCCAGGCCCACAAGTAAGTGTAAAATAATTAAAAAAAAAAAAAAAAAAAAAAAGCAAGTTGCGCTAAATGTTTGATAAATGTGAAATTGGCACAAGGCTATTTTTTCACATGCAAAATTGACAAAGCTTTTAGGATTTCATAAATGTGCTACAAGCGTACCTATGGCAGTGGGAGCAAAGTTTTCAAATGTTAGAAGGATTTTTCATTCAGGAGAAAAATGACTCATTCAGTGTTCCTGGAATGCAGCAGAAATGGCCACACCTGGAGGAGGGTTCTGAATAGGATCTTGTTACAGACTTACTGCCAGAATAGCAGCTTGTGCAAAAGGCACACACAAAATTCCTGATCTAACTGGTAAGGGGAAAAAGAAAAAGCCACATATATTTGCCAGTGTGTTTAAACAAATTAACGAGGAACCTTTAGTACGGTGAATGTATGTGTATTGTTCTCCCTGATTTTTCACGCTGGTTTCTTTTTAACAGGGCCTTCCTGGTCCACAAGGTCCTATTGGACCTCCTGGTGAAAAAGTAAGTTACAGCTCTATTCTGGTATTTCACAGTCAGTTCTGTGCAACAACCTTGCTTAAGGTCTTTGCTATGTTTAAAAGCATACTAACCTGAGATCTAAAAATTTGTAAACCTTCCTAAAATCCTCAAGTAAATGGATAACTATCAGAGGTCTGACTTTACTCTTATTACTTCAGAAGCATAATTTCCTATCTTTTCTTTGGATTACTTTTTCTGCTGTTAGATACAGAACCCCATCTACACCAATAAACAGTATATACTTTTATGTTAATTAATTTCACAGCTGACTTGATTTTATTACTCTTTTTTATTACAAAGTTTTTTATCTATTAACAGCAGATTCTGCTCTCATTTTACAAGGATTACGTTCTGACACAATTCTGGTTTATGAGCTTAACTATAGTATCTCTTCATAGTGTTTTTTTTCTGGTCTGTCTGTCTGTGAATGTTCTTGTGGTCTGATACAGGCCTTCTGTCAGCTTCAAAAATGTCACATTTTACATGCTTTCTATCTACCTGTGTGCCTAAGAAGGATTATTATACAGAATGGACTATATCCAAAATAAATGCATTCCAGCCTTTAACAAAGACATAGCAAGCCTTTTCAGCTATGAGAGCTACAATTCTGTAAGCGCTATTCTTTGCTCTCTGAGCTTGCTGGTTTCTTTCATACGTTGAATGATTTTACTCCTGAAATGCTAAATATTGTTTAATTTTCTATAACTGGAAAAGTCTTCTCCGTATTGTGTTTTGTTTGTGCATATTCATAGGTTAATACCCATTTTTTTTTTTATCCTTAACTCTTACAATTGAATGTACTGGGTATAGGTTTTTTTTATGTGTTTAAGGATTTTGTTGTTGTTGTTGTTCTTTTTCTTTTTTTTTTTAATTTTTCTTTTCTCCCCTTTTTCTCATAGCTACTCTAAATCTGGGGTTGGTTTGCCTTCTGTTTTAGAAGATTAAGATACTAAAGTGTTACATTAGTTTGTTGTCTGTATAAGTCCTGGTCCCAGTAAGGATGATTTTTTATCATCCAAGCAATTGATAGAATGTGTTTTGTCATTCTTAAGATGTGTCTCTGTTATTGTATTTAGGGACCTCAAGGCAAGCCTGGCCTTCCTGGTCTTCCTGGTTCTGATGGGCCTCCTGTAAGTAACCAAATATTTCATGCTTTGAATATCTAAACAGTCTTACCAATTAATATATAATAATACCTGTGTCTCAAAAATAAAACATAGAGTGAAAGACATGCACTCCTCACTGGCAGTAGCTTTATAAAATACATCTAACCTCTGTTTACTTGTGTTGCTGTAACTTTTAGAATTAACATTTTTGCTGCAGCTACTAAAAATCACTGTAGTCCCAGCTGGTGAAATCCATCAGAAACATCTGCAGGGTTGTGGAAGTAACCTGGCTGACACACGAAGGATCAGAATGTTTTACCATATCATTATAGCAAAGCAAATTATCAGTAAAAATGGTCACCAGTTGCTTTCTTAGACTGGCTCTTTCTCTGCTTCCTAACCTACATACATATTGCATGCTTGGACTTCTTTCACTGACTACACTGGAGCATACGCATGTGATTCTTTCATCAAAAGCATCATCTCTCTACACTGACAAGAGCCATTCAACAGTCAGTGTGAAGTCTCAAATCATCTCTCTGTTTCGTTTGTCATTTTCCCTTACAATTCATCTTATTATAGCTTAAATCTGTGTTTTTTGAACCTGATTTTCAACAGTTTTGCTACTACAGAATGAACAGCAGGGTTTCAGTGCATACATGATACTACCAATACATAATTGTATCTACAGCTTTCATAATCTCTCTTTTCCTGCCAAGGTACCATTTTAATGGAAAACATTAGAAAAGCACACAAAAGTCCAGTTGGAAATCCATACCTTGAATCAATTTCTGAACATTAGATCTTTCTCCTTATCTTTCTCTGTATGCTGAGAACAATATTCACTTGCAGACTTCACCATTGTGTAAAAATCTGTGTATTGTTAAACCTTAAAAGCAGAGGAAAATGCTCTTAAGAATTAGTTTTTAGCACAGGTCTGTAGCTCCTTAAAGTGGCAAGTTGACCCTAGTGAGCAACTGGGCACTTCCTGCACGGTGGAATGGAAGAAAGAATCAGAACAACAAAAGTGAGAAAGCTTATTGGTCAATATGAAGACAGTTTAGTAAGTGAAGCAGAGCTGTGCACTCGAAATAAAATTAAGAATTTACTTACTGCTTCAAATACATAGAAACAGTTTAGCTAACTGCTGGAAAGCAGAGCCTCAGTAAGCTTAGTAGTTATTTAGGAAGATAACCCAACCATGAATGCCCCCTCCTTCCTCCTGCCCTGAGCTTTTATTGCTGAGCATTACACCATATGGTATGGAATATTCTTCTTGTCAATTCTGAACATTTGTCCCATCTGTGTTCCCTCCCAACTTCTTGCCCACCTCAAGCCTACTCACTGGGAGCAGAGTGATAAAAAGAGAAAATCTCCATGATGTGCAAGCAGTCCTCAGCAATAGTGAAATCACTGGTGTGTTATTTAAAGTGTTTTAGTCACAAATCCAAAACACAGCACCATACGGACAACTATGAAGAAAATTCCATCCTGGTGAGACCCAATATACCCACACAGAATTAACTCACTCCTGCACAAGTAGCTTTATTCCACGGAAATGCAAGGGAATTAGGTTAAACTAAACATGTTCTAATTGACATTACATCTTTACAACCACAGAATTGCATTGGTGATTGAAGAAAATGAGCAGTACCTTCCTTATAGCAGTGAGCTTTGTATATGATCCTGTGATACCTGTGTTAAAATCAGGTGAAAGATCAAAGACATTTTTTAAGATTAGGCAAATTTTTCCTACGTTATTTCACTTCATTTTTATGTAAGGAGATGTCATGCTGTTTTGGAGGACACACATTGTTAAAAGTGGTATATTATTCTGGAATTAATGAAATCTACAAGAATACAAATGAGCTCTTTAACAGCAGCAGTTTTTGAGTCATTTAGTACTAAGGAGACCTTTGAGACTGGATGGGAATATGAAATTTTGTGGTCAAAAAGCATCTTCTAGAAGATTTTGTTTAAACGCTTGGCATACGTATGCTTAAAAACCAAGTCATCAGGATACAATGTTAGTAAGACAAACTTTAAATAAAGATTAAATGTCACTTGGAAGCAGATATCAAATACTATTTATGTATGATATATGTTCTTTTAATGAGCTATGTATTTTAAAATTTTCCAAGATAGTAAATTGACTATAAGCAATGGGGATTTGTCATAAAAGACATATCAAACATGTTACGATATCAATGACACCAAAACATGAATGGTTTTTGTGAATCACTATATGTTATTTAGGACCATGTCTGGCAAAACTTGAGATTTACTACTCTCCTCAATAAAACCAATTACGTGTATAGAAAAGATTCTCAACTGACTTGGAATTTAAGTGATTAATAAATTTATTTTTATAATGAATCATTTGAAAAATGGATTGTTTTCCAAAGCAGATACATTTCTCTTAAAACAGGGCCATCCTGGCAAAGAGGGTCAGTCTGGAGAGAAAGGTGCATTGGTGAGTTTCAAAATTTCTCTATTTGTTTACATAATATTTGTATTAATATTAGTATTTGTCCAGAATGTTATCAGCTAGAGGCTTGTTGAATTTACCTTAGTTTCTCATGAAAATTAAGTTTACATAGATTATTTGTTTTGAAAGTAAGTGTATGTGACTGGCTGCCAGTTCTTCCTTTTACAGTTTGAATTTACTAATTAATTTCAGCCAGACTTGATAGAAAATGTTATTTCTTAGAGATTTTAAGGGCCTAAAGGTTTTATGAAAAGACACAGTTTGAAAGCAGAAAACCTTATTATTAAGGAAAGATTGTGCTGTGTGTCCATCTCCAACATCAGAGAATCAACAAAGCAGGTCAGCCTCAGACACATAGCTGTATGTTTCCAGGCTTCCTTACTTCCACAGCATAAAGAACCCTGTTTATTTAAACACCACCAGCAATTGCGAAGTATCCAAGTTAAACATAATTTAAATACTCAGCAAACAGTAAATAACAACATCCAAATACCTGTCAGTATTGATTAAGCACCATGAGACCTCTAATTTTCAGATCTGTAATCTCTTTATTAAGACATGTTTTTATAATTATCATTATTTTTATTTATACTTTTGACTTCTGTCATCATCATAATTATCATATAAATTTTTTTCCAGTAAGAAACCACTAGTGGCAAATTGTCATTAATTTTGAAATATTTATTTTGGTTTTCTTTTGTTTTTCACATTCTGAAATTACCAGTTTCATATTATTTATAACGTGTATAGTTATTTCCTAAATATGCAAATAGAACTAAATTCATAAGTTTAGTAATAGTTTAATTTCCCTTGAAATGCCATGACTTTTTTTTTTATAGCAGGAAGGCTGAGAAGTCTATCAGTACAGAGTTATTTTGATGTCACACAAGACTGCTGCAGTATAGTGAGGGAATAAGGATTAGGTTAATGCTTGTTAACCAAATACTGCACAAAGGTTCTTTGCTTCAATCTATTTTAGGGGCCTCCAGGTCCTCAAGGTCCAATTGGCTATCCAGGTCCTCGGGGAGTAAAGGTAAGAATTAATTGCTAGATTTCTCCCCTCACACATTTTTTATTATATGCATGTAAGTAATTCTTAATATTCTTTCTTTAGGGAGCTGATGGTGTTCGTGGTCTCAAGGGATCCAAAGGTGAAAAGGTAAAACTATGACAGCTTTTAATTCCTTTCTCTTTTTCTGTGTTATTTCATTGCAGCTTCTTCTGTCTCCACTGTTGCAGGTTTTCTCTTGCAGCAGCAGTTTATTTTTGACTTACATACCAAGGACATACCAAGCCCAATTCATAAATCTGTGTCCTCTATGATTATTTACACTGGAACAATGCAGTTAGAAAATGTTCAGTTGTTAAAGTGAGTTTGGATCCTCTTGACACCAATTTAAGTCATCTCTAAATTGCTCTGTGGTAGATAATTTGACATCCTTTCTCTTATTAATATATATTATAGTAGGTGCTGAAAAGCTCATTCCATTCAAGAGATTTGTGGTAGCAGTAGTGTAATTCTATTGTTTTGATAATGCTGTAGGCTAGATTTTATGTTTGTTTGTTTGTTTTTTAATGTACCCAATCTTCCAAAAGCTTTCAAGGTTCCAGGCATTTTTTACCTAGTTTTTTGGCTTTGCCAGAGTGTTAGACAACCCTGATCAGATGCATGTATGTAAATATAAAGAAAGCTTTTACATCTTTTGTAATTTTACTTCTTTGCATACAGCAAATGCTCTTACTGTAACAAACATCTCTACTGACTTCTGACAGTCTGAAGTGGCTGAAGCTACAGCCAATGCTGGTTTAAATTCCAAATTTCCTTAGCACTCAGAATGAGAGAGACAACAGTCATTTATACTGCCTGTCCACACAGACACATTTACCCTGGTACCCTTGGCTACTGTGTATATATTTATAGGTGTATTTCTAAAGCAGAAGACTACTTGTAAAGTAGAAGCCAAAAAGCCTCAATTTGAGCACTAGAAATCTGTCCTTCAGGCTCAGATGCCAAAAGAGTCTACGTATCTTCATGCTTTTCTGCATCACCGTTTATCTAGCTTTTATGCACTTTTTAGAGTTCCTCATTAAATCTAATCTGAAAAACAAGAGTATATTTAATACCCATGGAGACTGAGCAGCAACTTATTCTTGTGTCTTACTGAGTGATTAAAATCCATCTATGAAAAAATAGAAAAATCAGTTACATATATGAGTGTTTGATTTGTTTTCCCTCCAGTTTATAAGTTCCCTTTAAGTACTAGAAGGCCACAATGAGATCTCCTCACCTTCTATTCTCCAAACTTCATTAGGAAAGTTCTTCAGGCTTCTCTGAGGCTGCCCAGGGAGGCTGAGTATGTCCCTTTCCTAGAGGCATTTAAGACCAGGTTGCACTTTGGGCATCCTGGTCTAGTGGGAGGTATGCCTGCCTATGACAGGAGGGCTGGAATTGGATGGTTTTTAAAGATCCCTTCCAACTTTTCTGTAATGTTGTAGCAGTTGCTGTATGATGCGTTAGATTAAGGCAGACTGAAGCAAAAACAAATAAGTCATGCTAGATTAAGTAGTGAACAACTCCACTGAATAATTCTGTAGGCTTCTGTTTTTATCCAAACTAACTCATACAGATGTAAATGAAACTTGTATGAGTACTGTTTTCTTATTCTTCAGTAAGGAAACCTATTAAAATGCTTGCATTAAATTTTCTACTGTAACTTATTAGGCAGTAAATAATAATTCTCATTAGGAATAAAAATAATATGTACCTGTTTTTGCTACTCTGTATATGAAATGTAATGTCCATTGTCTTTTCTATCTTCTTTCCATCATATCAGCCGATGAAAATACGCAAGACTGTGTTGCCAAACGTCCAGCTACTGTATAGAGAATACTTCTTCCTTTAGTGGAGACAAACATTCTTGTCTTATTTTTTTAATTAGGATTCCATTATCAGCCAATTCTTTAATTCCTTTCATGACACTATTCAGACACAAGCTTAAAATAAAAAAAAAATTAAATTAAACAAACTGGAGGTTCTGCTACTTAAAAAAAATATCACTGTACAATTTGCCACCAATATTTTACTTAGTTATTTTACTTAATTAAGTTGATGGAATTATTAAAAAGAGTGACAATAAAAAAATGTTTAGGACATACCAAATGATTTTGTAAGATAATTTGTAATAAAGCTGAGCAATTAGTTCATCTCTGTCTTTAAACATTTCTTAAAACAGCTGATATTATGCTATTAGGAACTTGCAAACTATAAAGTCATATAAAGCATGCTGATACACTTACTCTAAAACAGCAATAAATATATCAGAATTACCTTATGTCTGAAACAGATCATTTTAATCTTAAGTTATTGTATTTTCTTATTACATATGGAAAAACAAAACAAAACAAAACAATCAAATGACCACCACCAACAAAAAACCTCCAGTTTTCTTTCACTGGAAGTTTTCTTACATCTATTTTTGTCTTACTTAGGGTGAAGATGGTTTCCCAGGATTTAAGGGTGACATGGGCCTTAAGGGTGATCGGGTAAGCATTGGCTCATGGCCCATATAATTTTAAAATGTTTAAGTGCTATTATTTTGAGAGGATCAGTGAAGTGAACAAATAAATTTACACTGAAAACAGTTAAAAACTTTTAGCTTAAGTTGTTTCTGTTCCCTGCACAAACACAGATTTGAGCCAGTCTAGATCTCATGAATCAGCAATGGCACAGTTAGAAAGAAGAAGCGAGTGTCAATCTTTGATATCCTTTTCATTGAACTTCCTAGGGAGTCTCCTTTTCAAGATACCAAGATGCAATACTGCCTGAAGAAGATAATTTATTCTGAACAAGGATATTTCCATTTCAACCTAATAGTAGCTTATATTATCTCTACCAAAATGTACTTTATCACAATAGATGCTTCTGTCAGAGGAAATGTTGCAGAGACAATTTAAAAAAAACTTATTACAAAAGGCTACTGGCCTGTATCTGTTATCTGTATACTTAAGTAACTGTGATAATGGTATCTATTTAACTTCTTGGATACAAAAATTATTCTAATACGGACCATGAGAGTGCTTTCACAAGAATATGCGTAGTAATTACTGGAATTCATTAAAATTCCTATGAAATTGGAAAGCAGTTTCAAAACGCAGCTCTCTTCAGACAAGGACAGTGGCCTCTAACGCTTGCACAAGTACAGTTCAGTTTACATGTTTTTGTATTTATATAATGAACATGAGTGGTGGCATTTTCTTAATCTCCATTTATGTTTACTGAAAAATTATTTTCAAGTATTTGTTGGTAGCCTTGCTAATGTATGCACACAGTCAATTGCTGCTCATTTATATAACGTTGTATTTCAGGGAGAAGTTGGTCAACCTGGCCCAAGAGGAGAAGATGGTCCAGAAGGTCCAAAAGGTCGAGCAGGTCCATCTGGGGACCCAGGTGCTGCTGGTCCTGCTGGGGAAAAGGTCAGTAACTACCTCATAAAGTAGATGGAGCCTGTGATCTTCATCACTAAAAAGACACAGAAAAAGATCTGCAAGATCTTAGGCTACCTAACAGTAGTTTTTATAAAACACTACTAAAGCAGGTCACTGGAGTTCATATTTGATCATGTATTGGGAAATCAATACTTTGCAAGTTGCAAAACAACATTATAGCACTTAATTGGCAGACAAAGCAGAACAATCCTAAATTACATACATGTACATCAAGAAAAACACAATGCAGAGGAAATACTTGGGCACAAAGAAAAAAAAGGAGCTGCAAGTGAGCGACTTAATATTCATTGCCATATAATTATAAATTTTCATATGAAGATTGGTTTAAACAGAAAGTATATCCTGAACAGAAACCCAAAACAAGTTTGGTAAAAGTGAAACGTAATGCTTAGAGGGAAGACTGTGTAAAGAATAGGGAAATGAAATATCGAGGAGAACAAGCACAGAGATAAGCACAAATGCTTGAGTAATGCTGACCTCACCAAAATACACTTGCAATGGAAATAGAAGAGGAAAGGAGACTGAAGAAGGTACATGTATTTTACTGAGAGCATCTGTAAAGAGATTGTGGCATTTGGGAAACCTGGGAAAGAATGATTAAAATAATCAAAAAAATGGGTCAGAATTATGTATATTGTGAGAAGATGCTGATGAAAATATTTCCATTTCGTATTTTTTTATTAACTGAGGTTTTATTGCTTGTTGTATCTTGAAAATAAATAGGACAGGAGGTAGAGTTTACAGTTCTTAGTTTCTCTGTCTTCAAAATAGGAACAGCTAGTACTTTTCCAACATTATATTTGACATACATTAATTATGTATGTATGTATCTATTTATCTATCCATCTATTTATCCAACTATCATTCTAGTAATAAAGACTGAAGTCTTAAATGTGATACTAATTAAAAATTAACAGGGTTTTTGGGAGTTTTCAGGGAAGAACAGGATGTATTCCGCAAACTTGAAAAAAACTCTTTTCATTCAGTTACTTCTTTTTACAAATACGTCATTATAGATCAGCAAGAGATTAAAATTACAATTTGAGTCTGGTGTTTACAAGTTCTTACAAAAGAATTTGTCCAAAAGCTTAGTTCAATCACTCAAAAAAAGAATAATTTTCGGCTTTCCCCAGCTATGGGGAACTATTTATGAATTAATCTTCACAGATTTGCAAGATATCTCAACAGCTGTTTGCAAGGTCATGAATCAAAAACATAAAAAAAAGAAACACAAATACAAATATTTATTCCTTTCATTTCCCACTGAAAGTAAAACATCTTCTGTCAATATTCTGTGGATAATTTGCCAGAATACATTAGGCCAGGGAAAAATGATATGTGGTTGATCCTGTAATATTTATTTTAGAACAAAGACTGGAATAATATTTGTCAACTCTTAAATCTCATCACAATATTAGGGAAATGCCTCTATGAGTAACTGTCAGTGTCCTGTTCCTTTCCTTTATTTTATGCAAAAGCACTGTTCTCCTGTAGTAATGAAAATAACAGGTAGCCTCTTCTCCGCATTCAGCTGATTGTATGATAAGAAAACTCCCATATTGTTAGGACTGCATTGGCTTAGTCAAGGAAATGCCAAGTAGTATGTCAAAAAAATAAGCAATATATCAGAAAGGAGTTTAGAACCAAAAAGTATCCATGTCACACCTAGAACCTAGGTGGCTGGGCCTTACTCAGTCATAAAGGACAAAACTTTCACTGAATTTAGCAGAACTTGATGCAGTGTTTTAGAGTTCAATCATTGTAAGGCATGCTGCTTCTTTCAGAGTGGCTTATAACTGGTAGCATTATGTCTATTTTTATAAACTGAAGAAAGAATTCTTCTTTAATAATGTCTCAGCCAGACCTCTGTGCTGCCATGAATATGATAATGCACAACATCTTTATTCATGTGCTCTATTTTTTAAGAATAAGTAGATTTATTTTGGCAAATTCCCTTCCACATACACGTACTTCCTTCATCTTTTCCAGTACTACTGAATACCATATTATATAGCATAATCATATCTTTTCCATTTAAATCTTCTCCAAAATGTAACGGCCTGGAACATGATCAGTGTTTAGAACAGTCAAATTCTTCCCCAGAGTTTCCATCTCTTAAATGTTGAAAATGCTTTCCCCTGCCTTTGAAAGCAGCAAGCCATCACTTGTTTTCTAAATATCTGAAAAGATCAACTCCATGGGGTACAGTATTTCATTTCTAGAAATGGGTAAGGTCAGTGCTGATCAAACTGTTCATCCTGTTCTCTTTTCAGAACATAGCAAGGTGGCCATATTTGCTAATATATCTATTGCCTGCAAATAGTAGAGTATGATTTACCATAGTCATAAACAGGTTACCTGTGATTAAAAAAGTTGATCATTCAAATGCCTATTTATGAAAAACTTATGGAAAACAAAGAAGCCATCATAGCAAAAATAATTTCTTCTTCTTTACAATCTCCTAATACCTTGATTTCTTAAAGAATATTAATACTTCCATGACCACATCCCACAACGAAGGGGTACTGGTTTTGTTGAACTCATTCACTAGAGTGAGATATTTATTTAGATTTGGGAAACTAAGCCCACAGATAATTAGTTGTTCAAATGAGAAAATTATTTCATTTATATTCCATAAAATGTCAACTCTCTAAGTTGTGGAAAAAACACTTTCCATAAAAGTTTGCTGAAATACTAAGGAAAATATTAAACTAAAATTAAGCACTGTCTTATTATTACAGGGCAAGCTTGGTGTACCTGGATTGCCAGGGTATCCAGGAAGACAAGGTCCAAAGGTGAGCTGTATATAAACTGTAAATCCTACACTGTTTTTCACATTTTCTTTCTTGATAATCATTATCTGAAGTAAAGTCTTAGAAAATCTTGGATCTCTAAGGCTGGCTCTTCAAGGAACATTAAATTTCTTATTGAATATACTGCTTTCAAACTTTTGCCATTCTCTGAGTTATAATTTGTGTTAACTTCAGACTAGCATGCATTAAATTATATCAAAAAAGAAATGACTTATATGTTTGAAAGAGAATAAGCACTATAGTCAGATTAAGACGGATGCTGAAAGTGATGGTAATTTTCAGTGTGTTGCAAGGATTCAATTTGTGTCATTACTGCCTCTTATTAAGAAGAAGAGATAGAATAAAAAAAACATTATTCTACAGACATTTCCCAATGTAGAGAAGGCAATGAGGGAGACATTGCATCTCCAGACCATCTTAAAGATGAGTCATCTGGGACAGCATCATAAGAAGAATCTCTTTCCCCTTCCTACATAACTGAACAATCAGTCTGCAGTAAAATCCTCAACTTTTTTCTAATTTGGGATCTATTTTCATCTTCCAACTTGAAACTATGTTTTTTTGGCAGAACAACAACTACCCGGCTGCCTAAGCAAAGCTTAGCTTGTTTTTTTTCTGACTCCGGCCTACATTTTGTCCTTTTCTGTCAAACGGATGAACTAACTGAAGAGTGCTTATTCACTGAACACTCTATGTTAACAAAAAAAATATCAGAACCATCTCTGGAAAGTATTTATGAAGACAATTCACCTTGACAAACATGTTTTTTTCCCTCCTACTTCTTAAATCAAATGTCTAAGATTTCAGTGTCTCTTTTTGTTCTTCTTTTGAACTGTCTTTTGAAAAGTCTGAGATCAAAGACATTTTGCATTATTCAGTTCTAAGAAGAAAAGTGATGTAACACTTCAAATAAAAACTGACTGATACTTTTTTCAGCAGACTTACTCAAGAATTGCATTACATTAAATTTTCATTTCATTGCATTAAAATGGAATATAGTTCTCAAGCTACATTCACTGTTTGCTCTTCTAATTTATCGCTTAAACTTCAAAAAAAGAAAAAAAAAAAGACAGCTAAAATGCATCAACTCACTGAAGAATTGTTTTGTAACTTAGTCACAGTCCAGTTAAAGTCAACATAAAGGATAGGGAGAGAGAGAAAAAAAGTAACTGTAGAAGAATATATTAGCTGTCTAAAAAGTCTTGTTTCAATATTGTTGAGGTTTACGTTACTCTTTTTGTTGTAATTTACTTGTTTTTCCTTGTACTGTTATAAATTGATAATTTTCACAATATGTTTTTACTTCTGCCGTTCCTTTTTTATTAGCTCAAATGCAAAAAGTATTTTATATATATTTATGCCCAAGTCATATCTATTAGTGTCCAGTCATTAAAGTTGTTTTTTTCCTCTCAGCCTTTTAATTACAAAGAATATACTTGAGCTTCACAGAACAGAATTTTTGCAATTTCATTCACTTTTAAAATGGTGAAGAACTGAGAGGAAGAGAGGGAGAGATGGAAGAAAACTGTACCAGTGAGTTATCAGTCAGATTTTCATCAGTCACCATCATTGATGTATTGTTCCCGAATTCATTAATGCATAATTGTGCAACATAAGATGAATTAAAAGAAGAAGAAATGATTATTCACTGAAATTTCAAAGAGCAGAAAGAACTTCTATTTAAAGTTTTTGTTATATACATTTTCTTTGCCACTAAAATACTAACTAGCTGTACAGATATCACAGGAGTTTGACCAGTAGTTTGAGTAACTGACGAAACCAAACACTGCTTTGATTTTTCATCTTCAGTAACAGTATATTTTACCAAGTCTGTCAACTCTTTTGCCCTGACTGCCTTATGAAAAATTAACACCTTGGCAGCTAACAAGTCTCCTCTTCCTTTGGACCTGTATACTAGAAATCAAGAAGAAAATAGCTCTGTTCAGATTTGGTGGCAGTAAGCAGGAAAAAAATCAGTGAAAAAGGAGAAGCAGGAATAGCTCCTGGGAGTAGTTGCCATGCATAGAACCAAGTCAGATAATCTACACATAAATTCTGCATCCTAGACAAGCGTATGGCCACAAGAACAAATTGCATCAGTTAAATGAAACTTTCCACTGGTCAGTTTACAGTGAATGACCAGAGGTAATTCATTTTCAGCTCAATGGAGTAACTGCTGTTACAATGCTGTTGAGAAGTGGCAACACTTACAATTACGTTACATGCAGTTTTGTTGTAAAATAATTATTTTACTGTGAGGGACAAGGCCTTGTTTCACTTTGTTATGATACAATTACAGTTATTTCTAGTGGACTGATAATGATCCTGGTGCAGATTTAATGAATAATACCTAAGGTGAAAAATAATGTTCATTCTATACATTGATTTTTTTAATACATTCTGGACTTAACATGGATGGTAAGTTAATTTACACCTGTTTGTTAGTGCTGTCACACTTGCAAGTTTGACATGATGTAAAATGTGCATCATTTTGGAGTTATGCTTTATATATAAATTAAATGCTGGCTATACTACAGTTTTTTCAATTAATGTTTAATGATAATTGCGTTGATTTTTTATGTAGGGTTCAACTGGTTTCCCAGGATTTCCAGGTGCCAATGGAGAGAAAGGCGCAAGGGTAAGATAATTATTTCTTGCATGACAGTTACCTTTTGGTACTCTGTGCTATGGGAATTCACTGAAGCTGCTATCCAAGGAACTATAAAAACAGGCTTTTTACATTTGAGATGACCTTTGACAGTTATGTAAAACAGAACATACTCAGTCATTAGTTCTCATTCTTGAAAGTGTTAATCTAAGCATACAGGAGCTCAGACACTTTTCGTTGAATACGCTACCACAATTATAAGTTTGAAACGCAGGAAACATACTGCCTTTGCTGAGCATCTGATTTGACAGTACAGCTGAGTGATCTGGCAAGGACTGTGTTTTCCTGTGTCGCGTTCATTGACTTGCTATGATTCAGTTTACCCTCAAGGGAATTCAACTTCTATTTCATAAGTATTCAGATTTACCACAAGCTTCCTTATAGTCTGAGATTTGAAAATGTAAAATATACCAAACAAGATAATGAACATACACTACTACCAAAGAGATACAAAATTACAGATTTTGCTGCTTTGTGAGGGAAAATCCATTATTCGCATTCTTCAAACTTAAAATGATATATGATATACAGGCAACTGTACTGCTGACTCTAAAGCTCAACAGAATAAAGCTGAATATGTTTCTAGAAGGCTGATGAAATTTGCAGAAGTGAGAGAATGGATAGAAATTTGTAAAGATGATCGACTTAAGTCAAACTAAAGTAATGTTTATTAATATTGTTCTTAATAGTCTATTTTAATTTGCAGCATGAAAAGGAGAAATTCACGATTTTAAGATGAAATAGAAGAAAAAACTAATTGCATTTACATTGCTTTTGTATGCTTTAGATTGTTCTTGTGTTATTTTAGTTAGAATATGGTGTTATGAACAGAGGAAAGCAGCAAAGCAATGTTCCTTTCATCCCTGTTGGTTTAAATGAGACATGACTGCTAAATCAGGATATCAGATCAAAAACAAACCAGCAAACAAAAAAGTAAATAATAACACATCAAAGAGCAGATTTAAAATTATAAAAGTATAATTATGTTGATCAATTATCAAATCTTCATAAAGCTATTAACACCACCAAACTGCACGTATACTTCAGTGTAAGGTTTTTCACCAATAATACAAGAATATGTGCTTTTTTTTTTTTTAATGTAAAGCAGGCATTATCATTAATTTTGCTTAAAGGTATACACTAGTATGTGATATGCTAGTAAGATAGTCATTGTCCCAATTATAAAGATTATATTTATAAAGATATAAAGAGATTATAAAGTACCATTCAAGTTCCTTTTTCTACTGGAATATTGTCCAGAATTTTAATCTTCCTTTCATTAGAATACATAGCAATTCTAACCTAACACTGAGCCTAAGGAAAGGAATCTACTGGTTATACATAGAAATATAATAAAGCAAAAAGAATAAGGACTAGTATTACTATACTGTATATTATTCTGTATTAATTCTGTACTTTCTTCACAGGGATTACATGGCAAACCAGGCCCCAGAGGACAGCGAGGACCAACAGTATGTACTTTTGCTTTGCAACACAGAGGTTTTTCTATATTAATTACCATAGTGTGAAAAATGATTTTTATTTGAATTTGTTACAGTATTCAACAATTACTAACTTTAGATGTTGTATGGAGGATCACAGTTTAGTAGGAAACATTGGTGATAAGTGGATGAATGGACTGGATGATCTTAGAGGTATTTTCCAACATTGGTGATTCTGTGATTCCGTCTTTTTTAATTTTAAATTTTATTTGATAGGGTCCAAGAGGTTCAAGAGGTCCAAGAGGTCCCACAGGCAAACCAGGTCCAAAGGTAATTGTCAGCCACATTATACAAATCAGCTGCAGGCTGTTTCTTTTAAAGAAAATGGAAGCTTCATCTTTGAACACACTGTTCTTCTTTTTCAGGGTACTTCAGGCAATGATGGTCCGCCTGGCCCTCCAGGTGAAAGGGTGCGTGAAAGTTATTTATATGCATGGTGTCTTTCCTGCTATATAAGAGTGTGGTTTGGTGGTGGGAGGATCAATTTATTTTTAGTTCTCCCTCTCATCTATTTGCCTTTCTTTGATCAGACTAACCAGAACAAACAAAATTTCAATTCTAACGATGTTGCTTTTCATAAATTTAGGAATGGGTAAGCTCAAGTTAGCTGAAAGCTTCTTCAAGCACAGTTTTTTATAAATAAGATGCAGAGAATTAATGTACTGATATATACTGATACATATACTTTGCAATATATTCATGCAAGTTACAATTGGACTTTGCAAGTCTCTGGTCTTAAGAATGCCCTTTTTACTGTAGCACACCACTTGTTTATGAGATTTACAAATCACTCAAGCCATCGCTAGTTTCTAGAAGATTCTTTGTTGAAACAGCTGTTTTTTTAGTTCTGATCAACTAAGAATTTCCTTCAAACTACTTCCTGCATCCTTGAGAAATCCTTCTGTGCATGCTAACATAAAGTTTTCTTCTTACTACTCTTATCAGTGGAAAAAATATATATGCGATCAGTCCATTACACAACGGCAAATAGAAAAACAATATTAATAAATTAGATTTCTACCTGTGTGTATATTAAGCAAATGACAAAGTATTAAGTGGAACATTGGTGGCAAGAATAAGTAGCAAGTTTTAGTGAAACAAGAATGATGTCTGAAGGAAGAGACAGAGGGGTAGGAAGCTGAGATTCAAAGGAGGAATGAGTTAAGTAGTGGGCTAGATAAATCAGAATTAGGCATAGTCCATAAAAGAAAGTCTATGTTATCTTACACTGTGGAGGCAGGCTGAGGCAGGCTACCAGGAGCTGAAGAGCAGAGCCTAGTGATTAAGGGGCTTACTGATAACTCCAAGAGGTTATAAGGAAAAGGAACAGGAGAGGGACTGAAAACAGTGAGCAGGTCATCTTACATGAAGGCATCCCTGGAGATAAACTGATTTGAGCAAAAAGATGAAGTTATCACAGAGCCCCACATATGATATCACTTATGTAATTTAAGCATGTGCTATCTGTTTGCTTTCCAATAGGGATGAATGTCAGCCAAGGACTAAAACTGTCATTTCTACTCAGCTGAGACTATTCCAGGTACCAGACATGTAAATATTAAACAATCTGTTTTGTCTGGCTACTGCTAAAATGAAATTCAATGACAAAAAGAAAAGGTAATTTTGATAACGTGATGTTAGTTTTCTAGTGCTATTTCTTACATAATCCATCATTATACCAACTTGAAATCTGCAAGACATTTTGTCAATAAAAAACAAAATGGAAATCTTCTTTCATTAAAAAGGCTCAAGATATGAGAGTCAAAATACAGTGGGAACTTATGAGGAAGACAGCGTAGTAACATCACAAAGATTTCCTCCTTTGCTTTGCACTTAGTTAACTTGGATTTAATATTACTCTATAAGATTCACGTAAGGACAAATCTCCAGGTTGGGCACAAGTGACCTCTTCTTCAGCTACATTTGCATACTGCTTCATCTACTTCAGGAGGCTGTCATGCTCTGGCAGTCATGCTCTATACTCTAATGAACTCAGAAGTAGCCAGTACTTTATCAAAGGAACTAAAAGGTAGCGTAATTTGGGTGATGTGGCTTCCTGCTTATGATCCTTTGCTTCAAACTTCAAAGCAACACTTCTAACATATTTTGACAGCTGACACTTTAAAAAGCCACATATTTTATACCAAGAGTAGGATAAGGGTTGCACTGTATGATTAGTATACATAGCTCAGCTGTGGAACAGTACAGAATTAATAAGGTATTTCAGGTAGCTAATCTTTGACAGCACATTAAAAACTAAGCAACGAAAGGTCTTCTAATAAGCTGATGCAGTCCCTTTGAACATATCAGCAATGAATTTTAAGAGTTAGCCTCTGTATTGTTTGATAACAATTTTAGAAACAGTAAGCTAGCACTTTGTGTAAATATGTAGGTGCATAGATCTATGTTCACAGATCTTTGTGGACATACATGTATGTGCATATGTGTAATACACAGTATATCATACATAAACACACATATCATCATCTTCCACTAGATTTGTGAAACAATGCTGCAAGAAAATTTTTTCTCTTTCTATATATATGTATATACAAAACTATAGAAATAAAATTTTCATGCATCACATTTTTTTTAACCATCTCCACTACTTTTCATGAAATCATGAATGTTTTTCATTCTCCCTAGTAACTTGGAAAGTTTATTCTGTTTGAAAATTTGCATTGTTATCAAAGTTGCTTGAAATATTACCAGACTGCAGAAACTGCCAAAGATGAATATTCATCTATTCATCTATTCATCTATTCTGTTAATGCAGACCACCAAACTACGAATGAATTCCCATACTTTATGAAACACAGAAAACAGTGTTCCTTACTCATCGTTAACTCCTACTTTATTATCCACTATTTCAGGGATTAGATAGAAATACTTCAAAATTGTTTTTTTTTTCTAATTGCATTCCTACAGAAATGGTCTTCTTTTCAGTCTGTTAGTGTGAATTGTTGTACCAATGTTTATAACAACGTAGATGAGGCTTGAGACTTACGAGGATATATTATCTACAGAGTTTATATATTTTATAATTGAAGCAAACTTTTCAGTCCATTATTGTGGCAGCTGAAGTAAAATTTTGCCTGTTTGCTTCCTTATATACTAGGGACCACAAGGGCCTCAAGGACCTGTTGGATTTCCTGGACCAAAGGGACCCCCAGTGAGTATCTTTTAAATTAAGTAGGTACAATAACAAGAATATTATTTTTCATACAATGTTTCTGAAGGTAATATTTTAAGACTTTTTTTTAAGAGATGGTTTATGTCTAGACTACAAACATACAAATTTCCTTGATGCTTATGGACTTTTAAGTCTATGACAAGAACTGACATATTCAAAGTGATAATTCAGACATCATCAGTGCAGCACACATGACATTCAGCACAATATGCCAACTGGAAATCCTCAAGTATCTTGATGCCAAAGTCTGGGTAGCTGACAAGCTGAATTTAAGCAAAATTCTAATACAGTAATATATATTTCCTTTTAACAGTTGATTCACTGAGAAAAAAATAAAGAAAAAAAATAAATCAGAAATGTGTAGAAATAGTTGTACACGTAAGCTGCAGCCTAACCTAATCAAACTGCTTTTCTAGTGTGCTTCTGCACACTTGTATTAAGTACAAAAGTATCAAACCACCTGTTGTTTTTTTATGCATGTATTTCCTACTTTTACTGCCATTGCCAAAAACTGAAATTTGTAAAATACTCCCATAATCTGTAGTGTTTTTCTAAACTGAGTCATTAGTCAAAGAAAAATGGAAAAGAAATATTTCCAAAATCTCTGAATTTATTGAAATCCATTTTTAAAACTCATGTATTTGACAGCCCAACAGTCACTCTCCAAGGAACCGTTAATATGCATCAGGAAGGACACAAGGAAAATGTATCATTAAAACAATAGCTAAAAACTGTGCAGCTAAAGACTAGTTTAAAATAAAAGACATCAGAGATTCCTGCAGCTAACTATACACTTATTTCAATATTAAGAATGGTGAAGAAATTACTTTTTTAATGTATTTTACAACTTCAGGGCCCACCTGGTAAAGATGGCTTGCCTGGACATCCAGGACAGCGGGGTGAGACTGTAAGTACATGAGCTTTACTGTGCTGCTGTTGTAAACCTCTTGAAGTCAGAATAGTGTGACCAAAACTAAAAAAAATAGAAGCAACAGAGAAAAGGGAAGGAGGTTGGGACTGGGAGATAATATAATGGCAGTTATCTACTGGTACAGTAGGTTAGACATGAGAAATTTTTGTTTTGTTTCCATACTATGAAGGTGAGATTACTCCTTCCTCTGATCAGTTGGTAACATCAGAATGTGCTTAACTAGTCAACAGAAGTAGTAAAAATTAATACTCAAACACTCATATCTCAGAATTAGTGAAGTGAGACTGTGCCTTGAGGCATGATGAGAAATTTCTAAGAAATATGGGCCAAATGATACCTTTTTTTTTTTTACACAGGTGGGGATGGTAGGAGAAAGATACAGGCTTTTAGGCAGAGACCCCTGGCTGTGATACAGCAGTAATCACACACAGAATCACAGAATCATAAGGGTGGAAGGAACCTCTGTAAATCATCTCATCTGATCCCCCTGCTAAAGCAGGTTCTCTAAAGTAGTTGCACAGGAAAATGTCCAGATGGGTTTTCAATATCTCCAGAGAAGGGGAACCAGAACCTCTCTAGGCAGCTTGTTCCAGGACTCTGAAACCCTCAAAGCTTTTCCTTGTGTTTATATGGAACTTCCTATGTTCTAGTTTGTGCCCCTTCTCCTGTCACTGGGCACCACCAAAAATAGCCTTGGCCCCATCAACTTGACTCCTGCCCATTAGATATTTATAAACATTTATAAGATCTCCTTTCAGTCTTCTCCAGACTGAACAGTTCCAGTTCTCTCAGCCTTTCCTCATTAGAGAAATGATCCAGACCCCTAGTAATCTCTGTGGTTCTCCACTGGACTCTCTCTACAAATTCCCTGTCTTTCTCAAACTGAGTAGCCCAGAACTGGACATTTTGTATGAGCTAGCTGATGGCATGTGAGGTTTGAGACAGAGCAGCCACAAGCAGAGCCAAACAGGAGCACAATGCAGTAGTCATCTGTGTGAACCTCATATTCAAAGCATGTGCTGCAGAAAGTCTGCAGTGTACCCCAAACTGGGTCCTTCTAAGGCCCGTCCAATTTAATCCACCTTCTATGCCTTTCTTTAAAAAGCATTTTTTTAAAAAATATTTATGTATCTGGGTTTATGATTCATGATGTACATATGTAAAAATGTATTTTCAGCTGTCATTCAGCTGCATCACCTAATCAAGTTCACCTAGAGAGATCTGTAAACATGAATGGAAATTTTACTACTGCACTAACTCATACCAGCTGGAACTAAGAGCTAAGAAAGATTAATCAGTCCTTCACTTGTAAGCATATTCTGGAAAACCAGAATATCTCATTTTTATTTTCTGAAGAGAAGAACTTATGACATGGAATTTCTCTTTCTCCTCTTCAGAACAGATAAGAATTTGGCTCTTCTATATATTTTCCCAGGTAACATAGTATTCTATGATTATTTCACAGGGATTTCAAGGAAAAACTGGCCCTCCTGGTCCTGGTGGGGTTGTTGGCCCTCAGGTACATCATTTAATTTCATACTTAACTTTACAAAGTTGATTTTTAATGGTTATATTATAACTAATGCAGAGGGCAGTTATATTTGTTGTATTAAAAGAAATATATCAATGATTATCTTTACTTTGGTGTCAAATTATTCATAACAAAGTTATACTTAGTACTTACCAATAGTTCCATGAAACGTGAATGTTGAGATTATTTTTGTACTTCTATTTTTGTGTGTGTATTCTTGATGTCATCATGAAGCAGAAGTCAAGAATGTGAAGTGAGATTTCTAATGCAAAATAATTTATAAAGAACAATTGTATTATGTGACATTCTTGTCAGAGATCAAATCTCAATCACTTTTAGATTGTGGAGTGTTTTACCAACAAAGTTCAATTTTATCTGATATTACATATTTGCAGAAAAATCAGACATTTGGATTGCCTGGGTTTTTTATAGATAATTCCTTTAGTGAAAGTTTTCTACTAGCGCATCTAGAGAGGTATCTTTCAACTCTCTCACCTTACAATTCATGTTATATAGAAAAACAGTAAAGGCAGTGTTTCAAGACAAGCACAGTACATGAATTTCCCATACATATACTTTTGTAACCTCCTCCCATGTGTGGAAATGCACTGTTTTAAACTTCATTGCCTAGGAGCAAGGTCAAGATTTCAATCTGTGGAAACTGTTCAGGCATGTCTACAGGCAAAAGGCAATGCAATATTTATTTTATAGGACAAAAATATTTTGTAAGTCAGTTTTGCCTGGAGGGAAAGGTGAGGAATGTATGCTAACCATGCTCACTCAGAACAGCTGGATATTGAGAATCTGCCCCCTCTAGACATTAAAAACTTTGAGATGACTGGGGTTTACCTTTGTGCTTAGGGTCCTACTGGTGAGACTGGCCCAATTGGTGAAAGAGGTCATCCAGGTCCTCCTGGCCCACCAGGTGAACAAGGCCTCCCAGGTGCTGCAGGAAAAGAAGGTGCTAAGGTATGATGGGGCTTTCGGAAGGGGCACATATATTGATGACATACTTGTATGTCAAATTATCATGTAAAACATGCTGCATAAAATCATAATTGATACATTTCACATAGTAGAAATTCACTGACCAAATTTAGCTCTTGGCTTACTTTTCACCAGTGGGGCAAAAGAAAACTGTCAATTGTCTAATTACTATATAATTCAGTCTTCCATTTTCAATGGACACTGTAACTTTTTAATGAATATTATTTTCAATGGATTTTTATGGCTATATTTTTCACCATTTATATTCTATAACTAATGCTATATTTTGGCAAAATTTGTTATAAACTTAACCATATTTATAAACTATTTTATTGATAATATTAAAGATAAAAGAATTAGCAGATGAATAGCTGAGGACATAATCTTCTTTAAGACCTAGTATTTAATTTTCAGTACTCAGTTAATGACAAACAATCACATTTCAAACAATTCTGTTCAATCAAAATGTGATATATTTTAAGGGTGACCCAGGTCCTCAAGGTATTCCTGGGAAAGATGGACCAGCAGGACTTCGTGGTTTCCCTGGGGAAAGAGGCCTTCCAGGAGCGCAGGTACAATATCAAGCATCTACAAACACTTGACATGGTTTCTACATAAATGAAAACAATAGATGAATCCTCTTCATTCATACAACCTTCAGTTATGTCTAAAAATGAATGCAATAGGCGAAGACTCACCAAGTATCCATCATTAAGTACCACTGGCTATATAACCAGAAAGTAATCTATTTAGTTGTTTCTCTGGATTTTGGTGTTCTTCCTGTTATATGTGTTGCAAAAATAACTAGAATTTTCCATTGTAAGAGGTAAATATTTTTTTCATCTTTTAGGGTCCCGCTGGTCTAAAAGGAGGGGAAGGCCCACAAGGTCCACCTGGCCCTATTGTAAGTAAACATAATAATTGTGTGGAAGTATAAACAATATCACATGTGCTTAAGAACTTTCTCAAAGTATGAGAAACATAAAAAACATCTAGATTTGGAAAAAATATGTGTAATTGTAAACTTCCCATTGTAATCCATGGGAAAATAAATTATGCAAGAATGTAAGAATGACCTACTGAAAACTGTGTTATGAATCTTCAAAGAAATTACGCATAATGCAATTATTAGGAATTTTAGAACATGATGGGAAACCATCCATTACTTTCCTGACTTGGGTTTTATCATAATTCTTGTGTGAACCATACCTAGAGAAACATTGAAACTCTTGCAAATTATGTTTGCTTGACAGCTATGTAAAGTTCATTAGAATTTAACTACTTGTTACACAGTAACACTCCTTCTCTACTCTCTAGGCTCAACACGGGTGTAAATATATATTTGCCAACTTCTTGTGTTTTTGTTTTTTTTAAACTCTGTGATTATGACAGAGAGAAAAACAGATATGCACTTATTCCTCAAAAGCAGTAAATTGTTCTCCCTTAAGTAGTTTGAGCAGATTTTTTACTACACAGTACTGTGCTCATGGTTGTTTACATTTAGATTTTTGTTTCCTATTTCAGCTTTCACTCTTTACATCTCTGCTGCCTATTTCACTGCAGCTTGTGGTAGGAATCCACTGAAAGGTATTTGAAGTAGAATACCTACTTCAACTTGCCTGTTCTCTGTTATTTTTATGACAGTGATGCACTGGATGCCCACACTACATTCATCTCCAAATAGAAATTTAGATTTTGAAAAATGTAGATTTTGACAACTATCTTGTCAATGCAGTTATCCATAAATGTAATTCATTTCTGTGCAAATGAAGTGAAAAAAATGTCATCTCAGCTATTCCTGGTGGTCAAAAAAGTAACAGAGGAGCTGAAAGTCTATGTTTTTCAGTAAAAAAAGCTTTCATGTTTCCCTACACCTGATTCTGAGATTAGAATGCATTAAACAGGCAGAAAAAAAAAACCAACAACTTAGTATAAAAATTTGTGCTTCTGGATTATTTCTATATTATTGGACTCTAGATCTGCAACTGGAAAAGATCTACTGTAGAACACTAAGCTTTATTTCTTAATTTCTCAATTCCTGGTATGTGAATTCTTAAGTCTAATTATTAAAGTAGGAATGGAATGGAAGATAACAGGGAGAGTCAAGAAGGATTATCACTCCACTCCATATGAAGAAGCTGAACTTTTAGAAGAAAAGTTGAAACAAATATCAGGAAAGCATAGACCAAACTATTCTCTAAAGGCCATGTCATGATTTTCTGTTAGGGATTGCCCCAAGGCTGGGCTAACTACTCAAGCAGTTGGTTAGCTTAGGTGCAATGAAACCAGACAGTGCAAGCATATTTGACATTTCAGCACACTCCCCTTTCCCAGACAGGATATTCACACAGTAGATGTGCCAATACCATCACAGTTTCTTATAAATATGTGTCATGAAAGGCTGTGAGGGAAAAACATATAACCTGTTTCATAACAGTTGTCTATATTCTGATATACATATATTTGAATTTAAATTAAAATGCTCCATTTTTCTGCTTACAGGATGTATGTGATACTGTTTTAGTTCTACTACCCATGTTTTGGTTCAAATCCTGGAACTTTCTCAGAACTCGTGAATTGTATTCCTTTTATGTGAAAATAAATTAATAGAGAAATTCCAGGAGCTATTCTAATAATACTAGCTAATTTGAGTTCAGTGTCAGAGATTGAGGTTTATTCCAAAAGATATGGTTATCAGGAGTACAGTACCAACTGCTTCACATCGCAAATTCATTCCTTTTGAGACTGCATTTCCAGCTAAGTTAAATATAGAAAGAGTCAAGGAGGAAGCTCATACCTTGTTGCATATTGTTTTTCCAATTTCTTTTTTTTTTTTTTTTTTTTTTTTTTTTTGAGAAGTAAATGTAGTTGGAATTGCAGGCAAAGGGAAAGGGTTTAAAGGGGAAATATTTTTTTCTGACCATTTTAAGTTCACTGTAGTAAAAACAGGCCAGTTGAGGTAGAAACAGCACCAAGTTGACCTGAAAGTATTTCATAAGTCCAAAGTGGTGGTTTGCTTTTTTCCTATTTCATCTGTAATTACTAACTTCTTATCCTGAAAGTGTTTTCTAGTGAGTAAGAGGCACAGATGCCCCTAACGCCAAGTTTCAGTATATCTACAAGCGCCATGATTAAACCACAATAATTTTGTTGGTTTTTTTTCCTCAGCAGTTTATAGCAGACTGTGAAGATCAAATATTCCTAAAATATTTTTGCATCTGTTTTTAGCCAACAGACAGTACATGCAGAAGTGTAATTATAATGGGTTCTTCTTCTGCCAATTGTAATAGGAGGAGGACTCATGCCATTGGGTGATCTTCCTCCAGTTCCCCCCAGTACCAATTGCTTCTAACTAGCATATATAGTCAGTTATATGGTCTGTCTGGCTGGTACATAGATCTGTGAGCATACCAAACAAATGACTGCTCCAAGTACTGTGTGTGCCAACTATTGTGCTTAGAGGGATCTGGACAAAAGAAAGAGGTGCATGAATGCACTCCAGAGCAAGTTTTTCTGTTTTGTTTTGCTGTTAATGGTTTGTTTTTAACGGCTCTTTTGTCTGCTGTCTTTGCCTTAAGTTTGTTTTATTCCTTTCTCATACTACTAAATGTAGTGTAATGTGATGGGAGCTCTTTCTAATGTCAAACAGTCATTTTTCAGTATCCCATTTAGGGATAGGATGCCCAAATTGAACTCAAAATATGCCACCTGTAGGCTACCCAATTATCAGCATTGAGCTACCTGGAGCTACCTTCCTCTGTCTGTAGCATTTTTCATTTATGGAGATGTTCATTTGTTGAGCATTTTGTTAGCAATCAGTAAAAAATACTACTACAACCACATAATGTATATAAAAGCTATAATTACATATCTCTTCTCAGAAAGTCAGACAAAACAAAGTCACTAATGAGTTTATAGTCTGTATAAGAGAAATACAAAGCCTTCCATTCTGTTCTGCAGATGGTTTTGTTTTGTTTTGTTTTTTCCTGGTTGGTTTCTGTTTGTAAAGACAGAAAATGATATTAAAAAAAAAAAAAAAAAGAGAAAAGAAAATGCAAAGCAGGTACTACTCACTGAATAGTACAGGTATCTTCTCTGCTGGCCAAAGATGTGAAATGTTGACCAAGGTCATGAAATACACTGCTAAATCAGAATTCTCTTATAACATTTCTTTCTTTCTAGGGCTCACCAGGAGAACGTGGAGCAGCAGGCACTGCTGGTCCAATTGGTCTACCAGGTCGTCCTGGACCTCAGGGTCCTCCAGGCCCTGCAGGGGAGAAGGGTGCTCCTGTAAGTAACCACAGAGACACACAAAACTGTGACAACACAGAGTTTTCGTTTCAGAGTGTTACTTTTTACCATATTAATATTTGCCTACTAAATGTATGAAATTAATTAAATAGTAAAACATTTATTGCCATATCCTCTAACATCTAAGATATGTTAAGCTTGTTATTATCCCAACAGTGAGTAAGTAATATGCTCAAATCAGTCTTTCATTAAAATTTATATACAGACACTCTGCATTAAAGCACAAGCATATTTGTCCTCAGCTTCCATTACTACTTGGTATAAATTTCTGATATGTTTTCTAGCATTTATTGTTTCCTTCTGTTTTTTTTTAAATGTCTTGTTGTATTCATCCCTGATATATTATAATCATCTTATGCTGCTATTTTCATTTCTAATATTGTTTCTTTTGTAACAAAAAGTTTTTGCAACAAATATTTTAAATTATCTTGTTTCTCTTGTTGAATACATTGAGAGAATATTTCTGATAGTGTGAAACCACTTACAGTAATCTTAAGACATACACATTCATTTATATTATCATATACGAATGGATTTAATATGGCTTGGAGAAAAATCCAGATAATTTAAATTATTTATAAGTTCAGTTTTATAGACATTCAGGTAATATCATTTTCCTTTTGAAGACTTTTGTTACTTGAAATTTGTCATGAAAGAAATTATTTTTGAGATAAGGTTTTAGAGGACATGTATGTGTATTACAGTTGTAATCCTGCATGCGCTTACAGGTCTGAGTTAGGACAAGATATCTTTAAGTTTTAATCTGGAATTAATTTACCCATTTAGTAATCCAGTTGCTACAGTGGCATGCATAAACATTTTTTTTTTTTAACAGACTCATAGTAACAAGTAAGACCTTTGTATTTTCCATGATGATTCTGAATATTAGTGAACTCATTCTTTAGAAGTTGTAAGAGACTGGAGGGAAGTGAGGAGTGCAGCATTGAATTCACTCCCGCTTCCACTTGCATAGAAGACCTAGTGCTGTCTTAGAACACCTTTGGGTGCATTTGGGACTGTGTTGCTGTATAGCTAATATAATTACCTGCACTGAAAGCTTAATTAAACTCCTTTGATAATGTGCATCACTTCCTTTTCTTCAAAACCAGGGTGAAAAAGGTCCTCAAGGTCCAGCTGGACGTGATGGAGTACAAGGTCCTGTAGGACTTCCTGGTCCTGCTGGTCCAAGTGGTTCTCCTGGAGAAGATGGTGACAAGGTGAATAGTAATTTAGAATCATTGGTAATAGGTTGAGAGTGTCAGAAAAATATGTTAGCAGCAGAGATATTCTGTTAACTTTTGGCAGAATTCAGGACACAGCATCTTTTAGGATCATTTGTATTAAATACGGCAGTGTTCTGTTAGTCAGCATTGTATAAAGGTAAAGACTTTGAGGTTTGTTTTTATAATGCATGAGTGTGATTTTCCCCACAGAGTGTATTTTCTGTGATTTAACTTAATTTTATTATTGTTATTGTATAAGGTAAGGTTTTCTGACATGTTTTCCTAGCAATTTGAATCATACTGAAATTTTGAAATATTGTACACTGCACTGAGAAAAAAGTATTTGGTCACATACAGTTAAGCAAGTCTGTAAATCACAATACTTTTGTTACAAGTTCATACCAAGGGTGACAAGAGGAACACAATCTCCTTTGTTTAGACCTGAGTACCACTCTTACTTCAAAGCCAGGTCTTTGGGGCCTTTGCAGTAGAACAGTCAATAGCCAGATTAAAATGACACACTATTGATTGATGCAGAATTGCCTCCTTTAGGCCTTCACGGTTGAAATTGCAACATAAAACACAGAATAATCATATCAAACGGAACATTTAAAGGTACTGTGATATTGGAGTCAGCTAAGTGTGAAGGAGACCATTCTAAACAAGAACTTTAACTTCTAACTTTCAATTACAGGGTGAAATTGGTGAACCGGGTCAAAAAGGTAGTAAAGGTGACAAAGGAGAAAACGTGAGTAGCAAAGTCCTTTGCCCATTTCATTCTTCATAAATAAAAGGTGTTCGTGCATAAACTACTCATATAGTGTTGCTACCTTAGTGAATAGAAACAAAGAACTATTTCAAAAATGTTTCTTCAAAATAATATTGAGTTTTAACACTGTTATTAGAAATACTAAATAAAAATGCATTGTGTTTGTTAGGTTCCTAGAGCTTCCAGAATCATTAAAAAGTAAACGGATAAATTTAATTCCTAAGCATCCTCCCAGTATCATTTTAATTTGTTCACTTTGTACTGGGAGAGATCAAGAATATGAACACATTATCTTACTGTGTTTACATCAACTGTCTGGATTGTGTGAACACACCCAACTTTGTCTTTTCAGCCATAACAGTAAAGAATACAACAACTTAATAGAAAATCTACTAATACAGCTAATTTTTTAAAAAGAGTATCTAATTATTGGAGAGTGAACTTAACTTATTCAGTATTTCAGAACAGTAAAGACTCCACATGCCATGCCTTAAACAAATTTTCAAATATCAATAGGCACAGTAGTGAATTTGGGACTAATTAGGCTTCTAATAACTTAATTTGAGCTGGTTTTGGATTTCAAAATCACTGCTGCAGTTCAAGCATTTCCTCCTTCAAGCTTTTCCCACTTTAAAATTCAAAACGAATCAAATTAGGATTTTGTTTTGTTTCTTAGCCAAAAATTCAGTCTTCTATTTCACCGGTTTTCAGGTAGAAAAACTCAGAACACAACGTAGAATTATTCACAACTAAGCACATTTGCTATCTTGAAAACACTCTGCTTGTTATAACTATATATGCAGTATCATAGAAGTAGATTACTTTCGAAATCCACAGCAAATTTATGGCTTCCATAAAATCAGATGATATTTTATGGGAAGATGTAAACAACTTCAAGCAATTTAGTTTTATTATATTTTTATAGAAAAAAATGTGGAGATAAAATGTCAAGAAAATGGCAAGGGTTTTCTACTTTTGTTCATTTCTAAAGATAAGGCTGTCTTTTTCAATTATTTATGTGAGAAAGAAAGACTTCTGCAGTTTTCAGTGCTGAGTATGTATTTTTCACAATTCCATTGCATTAGATCATATCACAAGTGCTATAATAAACTACTTGCAATGCCCTATTTACACAAGGAATGCAATATTATACATATGAATGCACTTCTATTATAAAACCCATTTATTCATAAAACCTACATCTAACCAAGCTGTTTGGAAAACCCTGCTTCTGAACTAAAATTACTCTTGCATAATCTAAGCTGTTTTAGTTTTGATTAACTTGGTAAAATTAATTTATCAAATGAAAGCATTTAAAATAATCATTTTCAAAATGACTGACTTCTCAGTTAACTGAAAATCAATTTTCGTTTATTTATTTTTGCAGTGGTAAACCAGCTGTGGAGTACAAAGTTATGTATTCTGTTCCTCTTTGTCCCCCTAAAGAGATCCATTACAATACAGGCTCTGCATAAATATAAAAATATTATAAATAGAAAAATATTTAAAGGAGAGAGCAGAGGAAGCATATGAAACAGGTCATGGCCAAGTTCCACTTGAACTCTGCACGTATCACATGCATATCTTTCTGTTCTTACCTTTGACTTTCTTCTTCATCAAGATGTTCATCAGAGAAATCAGAAAAAATATATGCTGGAGTTTTGTATTTCAGACCATTTTAGCTTGGCTAGTTATACTGAGCATTAGACTGTGACCAGTGTTTCCATAGTGAATACTAATGTATTTGAACTCATTTTCACACACCTGCTTTACAAATAAGGTGTCTGCAGTATAATCATTTGAGAATGTATCATGTACATTCTCAATCTCAAGGTGTAAGGCATTAGTAAATACTGTATGTTTTCCATGAAATACACTATCCACTGTTAGAGTCTGCTCATTTGAAGGCATGCATTTTACTCTGTTTGGAGTCCTATGTATTGAAACCTATTTGCCCTCAGTTGCACTCATTCAACCCTGACGATTTCAGAATTTATTTCAAACCTACTTTCCTTTCAACATGCTGACAGATGTATATGGGGCAGAGGAAAGGCCTTTTTAGTCACCTCTGAAAGATTCTGAAGAGAAAGTAAGTACGCAGTTCTGAAATCACTGGACATTAGGGGTAGATTTTTACAGTATCTGCACACCCATAAAATCCTCAGTGGTTATTTGCTCATCACAGCAAGGACACTGACAAGGAAAAATTGCTCCCTTTTTCTTGTTTAAGATGAGCTTGAAATATCTTCAGTTCCCTTTCTGAAACTAATAAAAATTTAAGCTTGAAGTTTAACTGTACTACACCTAACAAAAAATATAGTATGTTTTCATATTCAATTAGGGATAACACAAATTTATTGTTAATGCAATAGAAAAGGGTATCTGGATGAACCAAATAATTTTTAATTAGTCAGTATCAAAGTACTTTCAAACAACACGTCACATCAAAATGAACATTTTAATGAGATTAAAAATATGTAAGTTTTGTTCTGGGCCCTGTAAAAAGAAGGAAAAAGCAGAGGCATCCTGCAATGTGTAGAAGACGGGCATTCCAATACTGTTTTTAAATTCATACATGCTATTTCCCTTTCTCATGGCAATCCTTCCAATCTACAAGAGCATTCCTAGGAGTGCTTTAATTTAGATTTTTCACAATAGAGTCAAGAGAGCTTTGCTTCTCGTATTGACATCATACATGCCATTGTTTCATAGAGTAAAAGGAAAAAAAGGTCATTAGAAAAGAGAAGAAAAATATTGTTTAAAATTTCCAGCTACCTAGAAAATAAGATGTTCTAAGATACACACAGAACCCAAAGAAAGAAATAATTTGCAAGACTTAAGTTCCTTTTCCCATAAAGGGTGCAATATTTTAACTGTAGCCTTAGCAAGGTATTCAAACAAATTCAAGCACACTTCTGCACTGAATTAGATTTTTCAAGCCAGAAACTGCAGAAAACTTCTTTGTCATCAGAAATGACAGGCTAGAATTCAACCCATGCAGAGTGTAAATTGTTAGGTGATTGCTTAATTCTCATTAAAAGGCCTGATATTTTTAATTTAAAAAAAAAAAAAGTTTCCATCTTGCTTCATGCTTGCACAGGAGTTATTTTAAATTTTCTGAAACCATTACAAATGTAAGCACTTTCAATAAATGCCAGTTTAAGGTTTATTATGGACATGCAAATCTGAGTTTTAAGAGCTGAACAAACTGCTTATTTGTTATGAATGGAAAGGTCTTATGAATAATATTACATTCTCCATGGAGAAATGTAAAAACAATAGCATTTGATCATGCAAATATATTTGCTGTTTATCTCATTCCAGATGCCAGAGTACTCACTCTTCCTTTTCAATGCTTGTTGCAGGGTCCTCCAGGTCCACCAGGTCTCCAGGGTCCTGTTGGTGCTCCTGGCATAGCTGTAAGTAGCTTATTCAGAGCAAATCACAATGTTGCTAAAAATCATTTCATGCTTCATAGTTCTTAGAAGTACATGGTAATTTGTGCTACTTATTCAGGAACAGATTTCAGATTACTAATAACAGTTGTGTCATTGTGCCCTTAAATTCAGTTGTTCATTATAAATGAGGCTGTACTGCTATTATTTATTAAAATTTCATTATTAAAAATGAAATATTATAAGCAGTGAACAGAGACCATCCCTTCAGACAACTTGTCTGATATTTTTTTTTATCACTCAGTGTTCAAATCAGTTTGATACTAAATGCAGTTAAAAGAGATGGTCTTTTTAAAATTCACCTAGTACAAAGTTGTGGGTTTATTTTCAAAAGTTATGAATTTTTTAGGAGTAAGTATTGGTCAGACTGTGTGTTACTCATATATTACTAATATGCAGGTATTCAACAGCTAGAATGTTTACACAGTTTATGAAAGAGAATAGGTGTTCAGGGAAAATTAATGTGAGGCTTGTATTGTTTAATCTGCTTTAAACCAGGACACAGTCTGATGTTCCATTTGTTTAACAGATTTCATTCATCAGGTTGGTATATACATTTGTGATGACATTAGAGCTAATTCTGAGCCCTCTTCCAGTTGTTTGTCCAGTGTGTTATCACAAGAGCTTCTTCTGTTTTCAGACCTGTGATGTTTTTGTTTCTTGCTCTTTCCAAATAGGGAGGTGATGGGGAGCCAGGTCCAAGAGGTCAGCAAGGAATGTTTGGGCAAAAAGGTGATGAAGGTCCTCGAGGTTTCCCTGGCCCTCCAGGCCCCATTGGCTTACAGGTAAATTCATGTACTGTTTTACCCTCTACTTATAAAGCGTCACTGAGAAATCAGGAGATTGTTTTATTCAGGAATGCAGTTCTCATAGCAACAATGAGCTGCTGGGATTAAGAGCTTTCACTTTCATGTATCTAATATTCCATGGTAAGTATATTGCACTTACTTCAATTAGATTGTAGTAATAGTACTTAAAGTGGATATTACATAAAAATAATTTTGTTTTTAAAGGTAATAATGGTGAATTTTGAATACTTATTAACTGTGAATTTCCTTAATATATAAAATATTACATTTAAGATTATGTTTCTTTAATAAAGGGCTTTCTAATAAAGCAAGCTGAAAATCAAGAAAATTTGAAAATCTATGTGCATATTTAAGCGATCTCATGATCATTTTATGGCAATTTTACTTAAATATTGAAATATAAAATGACAAACCACTACTTCTTGCCAAAAGGAACTGCCATGTCCAATGATGTATGAAATACCATATCATTAAATCAGTAAGAAATTTTCTGCATTAGAATAAGTGTTCAGTAAATGGCTTTTGAGAATTTTTGAAGACAGAAATATCAAGAAAATGTTTAATTACCTTTGAAGTTTCATAAATCCATCCTCTGCAAACTGTACAAATTGTGCTTTAAATTTAATATTTATATTAACATTAGCAAAATCAGGGTCTGAGATTATAACTTTTAAAACAAGCAAAAGGACTATAAAAAAACACAACTGTGTTGTTTAATAGTTGATTATTTAATAGTAAATAGGCTTTTACAATAACCATACTCACTGATATGTCAGCCAAGTTTTCACCATAGTAGATAATTGAAACTTACATTATTTTAGAAAAGGTACACCTCTGAATTTTGATGAGCCTTTCTACAGTTCAGATTGTGTCAAAGTAGGAGGACAGCTGACAAATATATATAGTGTTGATACGCTGATACTTCATAATTTTCATACAGTTCTGTAGCAAAGACAATAAATTACGTTTTCCAATCTGGTAGTAATAATTTGATACATTAAAAATAGCAGAACACTGGAGATGAAACTTGGAACCAGATCTTAATGTAATATCAATATTGTAATGTTATTGACTCCAGATTCAGGGTAATCTGCACGATACAGAAGCCAAAATTTTATCCTGCATTTAGAAATGCCAACTTAGGAGTGATATTGTTTCTAGGTGGGATAACTATACTAGAATCAGTACTAGCATCACCTTCATTTTCCTTCTCTTGATGTTTGTTACTAGACAAACTTGGACACTTTCTTTGTAAGAAAGTTTGCATTAAAGCAGTGCAGTGCCTCTCAGCAGGATTCATTACCTCCACTGGACACCTTGCTAATGCAGTTTTACAGCTTCCAGTACTGAGGTAGTTTAGACATTTTTGCATGCCACTTCACTGTGCTGCCTCGATCATGTTTTGTTGACATATATATGTCATAAATCATATTGCCCAAACACACACATGGGGTTTGGATAATGATGGCAATATTCCTGAATTCAGCCACCCTAGATAGCATTTGTGTATAAATAATAATATTAATTATTATTATTTTCTGTCTCACCTTGTTTAAACAGTTCAGGACTACATATGCATTTGCTGTAACATGAAAAGCTCCTTTTATGTATTGATTTATTTATTGTAATTAAATTTTGGTGTTTTGTTCCTTTCCTTGTCCTCTCTCCCCTCCACCTGCCCCTGCCCAAGTTTCACATGTGGATCTGATTTCTATTTTTTCATATTGATTTATATCTCATTATTGCAGATACTCTACTAACAGTTGTTTGGTTTTTTTTTTCTTCCTTGATTTTTAGGGTTTGCCTGGCCCACCAGGTGAAAAAGGTGAAAATGGCGATGTGGGCCCAATGGTGAGTTTTCTTCCCCACTAGTCATTCTCACAATAAATATTATCCATGTATTACTGTCTTTTCTCAGAAACTCACCATTTGATAAGCTACTCCTGAATTCTTTACCTGACCATGAAACTTTTTTGTGTATTGTGAGCTATCTCTGGAATTTATTTTGCATTCCTGAATCCATCTCCTCATCTTTAAGATGAAGATTTATGTAAGAAAATACTTAGAAGTAGCTACGCGTGTCTGACAGGACAAGGTAAAAAGAGTCAGGAATGAAGAAGAATAAGGAGAGACTACTGCACTGGAGAATTCAGAGCTGCTATTCCGAAATAGCAACTCCAGGGCACTGTTACTATACCATCAAGGATCAGTTGCACTTTTTCCATGGGATTGTAATTGCAGGCTAATACTATTTTGCTATGTCTACATTGTTTCTCGGGGTGATCTTGAGTCTATATTTGTTGAAGTGCAGTGATGCCTCTGGGCTGGTCCTGACTGAGATGCAAGCTGTCTACCTAACGCACATGCATCCAACAATTGCCAGCCTTTTTTATTGTTGTCCATCTGTAGTCACCATGGTGCAGTACCATCACATGGCTGTTAACAGACAGATAAGCTACTCTGGGGCCCTTGCACAGAAGAAAGTGTGTATAGGTAAACTGCAGGAAAAATGCAATTCAGGAAACCAGTCTTCATGAGTCCTAATCAGGTCATTTTCAACTCAGGTACCATATAGCTTGGATCCCTCCTGAACTCATGCATTGGAAGCAATTCAGCCCTGCTGTAGAACACTGAAGACTAAAATTCCTCTAAAGGTTGAGGATATTGTTTCTAACTGGCAAACAACAACAAAGAACTATTTATCTTACCTTTTTTTTAAATATACCAAATTGTCTTTTTGATACAGGGTCCACCTGGTCCTCCAGGTCCAAGAGGTCCACAAGGTCCTAATGGAGCTGATGTAAGAACTTTTCTTTCTCTTAACATTGCTTTTGAAATTCAGTAATAAGCAGTATATTGGGGATAACTGTATTTGGAATAACTATCATCTTGTGTCATCGCAGGGTCCTCAAGGTCCCCCAGGCTCAATCGGCTCTGTTGGAGGTGTTGGGGAAAAGGTGAGAATATTGAAAATATCATTTCTAAAAAGAGAAAACATTGAAACTGGAATATACATTTTGTTTCTTCTTTGGTGCTACACAGATATATTACAGTTCCCAAATAGCCTTCATTGACTTAATAATTATTAATAGTGATCAAGCTATCTAGTTATACTTCTAATAGCAGAATTACTGTTTGTTTCTTTTCTTTAATGTTTTACATCACAGAAGTATGAAAGAGTCGAGAAAGAGTCGAGGAGAAGAGTAAGCCTTATCAGTGCTTAATAAGCAAGGCTGTAGTGATTTCCTCAGTTTCACAGTTTGATGTTTACAGTAACATGATTGGATTCAACAGTATATTTCATTTTATACAGGTTTACCTTAGAATACCATAAATCTTTCTATCTGGAATGTTAAGAATATAAGCTATTATCTAATGTATCAATGGTAGACTAATGTGTCAGATGTGAAACAGAAATGAAATATCAATACATATTTATTTCTCATATAAATATATACAATTCCAATGAAGTCAAAGGCCAGAGAATGATTTATCATTGTTGAAAACTTGACTTAGGACTGATACTCGTTAGTCAAAATTATTTTCATTGCTATTTTTAGTTCTTTATTCAGAAAATTTGCTAGCAGATATGTTTTTATTTTTTAAAAAAATTCTGTATCTTAACCTAAGAAAGTTGCAAAATAACTTTTTTATTCTTTTTCTTTGTTTTATTTTGTTATGTATTTGAATCACCAGAGTAAACTATTTTAAAATGCAGAGCAAGCACAAAATTCAAAAGAGATTCTCTTGAAATTACTACTTTCATATTTATTTTAACAATTTAGACAACAAATTTCAGTCCCATCCTGGGTGAAACCATAAAGCATTTCCTTGTAATGCTACAGATTAAATATAATTTTTTTTCTTTAAATCTGGGTCAGGCATTTGGAAAGCAGATTTTGAAAGCTATATAAGGGGAAGGAAAAAAAAATGGAAACATATACAGTCTCCCCTATAGGTAATTTGTTGAAAAACTATGTAGATTGATCCTGAGCATTTGAATATTTCCCACAGTATATCATATACATTCAATAAAATTCATGTCAATGAATCCTAGAAATGGCATTCCTGGAAATGCCAATATTGACAGTTGTCAGTTCTGGAAAAAATATGGTATTTCTTCCAAGTATTGGTAACATTTCAGAATGTGAAGCAAGTCTTACCTTTTCTTTCTGTCCATCAGATAATTAAATGCACAGGTACTTTCTCATCTTCCTCGTACACCATCACTGAAATTCTTTACTTCAGAAGTCTTAAATTCTGCTACCTTTCATTTATCTTCACACTGTTTGACACAGTGTACCAATACTGTAATTTTACATACCAATCTATCAGATCTATGAATTTAGAAAGAATGACATAAGTATCAAGTTAATAAAAATCATTTCATGATCCTTTTCTCAATTACTGTCCAGAAGCATGTGATTCTGCTTCATAGAAAGGTATTCTTTCTTTTCATAAGATAAGGTAATTGTCATTATTTTTCCAGGATCCTTTTTATGACTAATACTAAAAATCATGAATATCTGCAGTTTGTTGTAGAAACTTCTAATTCTTCTGTGATAACAAGATATTTCACAGGATAATCTTCTGTATTATTCGTATCTACACTAAAATTGTCCAGCTTTTTCATTAAAATGACTATCGCCCAGTAGAAATGGCATTCTTATGTCTTCTATCTTTTTTACTAGTAATTGCATGAAAAAGAATAAATATTATGCCCTCCTGCTTGTCTGCATTATTAACAGTGTGTTGTCTCTAATTCCCAAGCTTGTGACTTTGTTCTTCCAGCCTACCTTTAAAGAGTGCTTTACAACTTAAAGAGCTGCAGGATTTGTTATTCTCTCAGGAAAGAGTACCAAATATGTGCTTTATTGCAAGCACTGGTAGAGATGGGACATAAGTTGATCTAATGGAAAAAAAAAGTCTGTATATCAGTGAAATACAAGCAAAAAAAAAAAAAAAAAAAAAAAAAGCAAAGAAAAATTATTCAGTGTCCACTGAAGTACTGAGAAAAAATGTTTATTGTGAGAACATTACATCCAGGGTTGAAACTTGCTACTTTAAAAACAATCTTGTGTAATATAGTGTTCTATTAAAGTCAGTAGGAATTTGGACGTAGGTTTCAATCACATCTTTAATTGCTATTGTTTCACAGTCAAATTATATTCCAGTCATTCTAATTACATTCAAGTCATTCTGTAAAGACACTGACTTGACAACTCCTTACTCCTCTCCTCCCTGCTATTCTTCCATGTGATTTAGAATCCCCACAAGCAGACCACTAAATTTAATTTGAGAACATGATAATTCAGACAGTGTATCACTGCTTGTCATTTTAATTTCCTCTTGCTTATTTCCTGTATTGTCTGTGTTCATACAGAGAAGCTTCCCAGTACATTATTTTGGAGATTTTATTTCTTCTAATTACTTCCCCCCCCTTCTTAAATTTTATCATGTGACTGATATCTCTTCTTAGTTAGGACACCTTCCTTTTTAATTTGAGTTCCATTTAATGAGTTCTGCAAATTTAGAAATAATAAAAGAGTTGTTTTGTCAGGAGGATTTTGTTTTTATGAGTCATTCATATCACATGGTGTTCCTACAATAGGAGGACTGTTCAGGCTTCTAAACAAAACATACCTATTCTTCCTTTTCCCGCATACTTTTTTTCCCAATGCTTTTCCTATTACGTCAGTATGCTTTGGCCTCTGCATCCCTTCCAGGAAAGAGCTATGCTGTAGATAACACTATGCAGTGTTGACAGTAGAATGTGGAAAAAATATTTTGGCATTCTGTGTCACTGTTGAGTAGCAAAATATATTTGCTCATTTTCGTATTTGAATGGATGAATTAGAAGGAGGTATTTTGATATTTGACAAAATTACCAACAATTTTTGTCACATGTAGTGCAATGTATGTTTAACTATCTTGTTGGTTCCTCTGTTGTCCATACAAAATTCTAAATGTTCAGAAACAGTACAAATGTGCATGTAGCCTTGCATTATAAATGCCTGTATCCATAGAATAGTCTAGAAGTCTTGTGACTTACACTCTTACACTCAACCAAAACCAGTTAAAACCAGCTTTCACCCTAAGATTTATTTTCTTTTTTCAGCTTTTGCTTTAGAAAAACGAGAAATAGAAAAAATACCAGCTCATGTTGACCATTTGATATCAAAGGCCTTACGTGCTGATATTCTAAATCTCCAGTAAATTGCTCAAAACTTTCAAAACTGGGCCTTAGATGTGTAGGTCAGTTGAAAACAAAATTACTCTTTGAAAAAAAATATGTATGCATATTGATTGCTTCTTTCCACTTAATTTCACTAAAAAATTGTAGATTAAGAGCTTGTAACAGACACAGAAAACAGAAAAAGTAACATTAGTGCTGTGCTTCTCTTTGACAAAACCTAATAAAAATAAGTTCAGACTTATAGTGTTTAAGTTAATCTGTGATAACTGTGTTGGGTACTCTGTCTTCTTACAAACCTCTCCCACTTTCATTTGTACATACACACATATCTGTTCAGTCGTTAAGATAATTAAGATGGTTGTGACAATTTATGTAACCTGAATATCTATCCTTGCAACATCTTAGTTTTAATGTTTTTGCATGACCTACTCCTTCCTTCCTTCCTTCCTTCCTTCCTTCCTTCCTTCCTTCCTTCC